GCTAAATAGTTATTAAAATAGCGTATATACTAGCTACTATTTTTTATAAAATAACGACTACTATCCTTAAGGTTAATATATTAGAGGGCTACTTTAAAATAGAATAAGTACTAAATCTCCCGTTCTTTAAGAGCCTCTTTTTTAAGCTTCTTAAGGACTAAGTATACGTTAAATAGGCTTAGAATAATAAAAAAAACTATACTTACTACGGGGGGTACTTTTACTTTTTAGCGTTCTTTTCTATTTTTTATTACCCTTTTAAAAAGAGCTAGCCTTACGTTTTTTAAACCCTAAAATAATATTAAATATAAACTCCTAAAATAATAAATATATAATATACCCTTTTTAAAGGGCTTATTATCCGAATTAGTCTTATCCTTATTCTTAAATTCTGAGAGGGGGATAAGTAAAAGCCCGTTAGAGCTCTTATTATTATTATTTATTTTATTATTACTCTTATTACGGCTACTAAAGAGAGCTTCGAACTTAATAAAGTCCTTAGCGTCTCGAGTAGTAATTTTAATATCCTCTTAATTAGAGAGAGAGAGCTTAGTAACTAAGCTTTAGTAAGTAAATAAGAGGTCGCAAGGGGGGGAGACGACTTAGAGAGGCTTATTAATATTATTACTTATTTAAACTCTTAATAAACTATATAATATATATATAAAAAGTATTATAAAAATTATACGAAACTTATTATTATTTCTAGATATATTAAATATTTATATTTAAAATAAAATTAGTAAACGATTTAATAGTATAGGTGTGCGTACGTAATAAACGGGGGTACTTATAATAACTACGAGAGGTTAAAAAAAAAAAAATAATAGCTAAGTAATACTATAAGAATTTAAATATATATAAAGTAGCTAGGTAGCCTCGCCCTTAATAATTTATATACTAAAAATAGTATAATACGCGCTATTCTGGGTTAAGATTCTATTTACTTTAGATAAAAGGATATATTTATAATAAACGTAGTTTAAAAAATGCGTATCCCTTATACTTATTTTTCTTTTATTTATATTTAACTAAATTAGGCCTTTATAAGGGTATTTAAAAATTCTATTTTAGGTATAATAGCTCCCTAGTAGTAGTAATTAGGGGGTATATTACGTAATAAGAATAGTAATCGTACCTTATAAAGTACTTATTACGTACTAAATCATATGTCTATTTTAGATATCGTATATATAGACCTTTTCTTTTTGTTTATTTCTATTTTGATAGTTAAGCCACTTTTACTATACTCTGTATGCCCATTGCTGCGTGCCATAACTCGTGACACGCTTTAATAATACCGCGGGGTAATACGAGGTGTCGCTTGTGCAGATAAGCCGCATGGAGTGAGCTCTTATCAAAATTGTTGCTTCTATGCACATTGCTTATCTTACGATGTCACTCCGTTTTCTGGCCGCGAAGATCGGCCAAGTTCCATAACAGAAGGTCGCGTGTCTTGGAACCATGTCCCACGCGTCATGGACTTTCTTTCTCACCAATAGTGATTGGCACAGAAAGCAGCATTTTTCGTCAATACCAAAGGACTTGATGTTAATCGAATCATCTTGATCGTCGAGTTTTGGGCAGTTACTTCCTAAAGCTCATCGATAATCGATTAAAGGAATTGACGTTGTGTTTCAGCTGAGAAAGCAGTACATGAGTGTTGAAAGGTTGTAACTGTAGGTACATAACCAGTCGCAAGCTATGGTGATTCCGTCTTCGAAATAGTGCTGAAATCTGGCCTCGCCCTTTACATTCTGAAGAGTTGAGTGAATTTGGTGAATCCTGCCCACCTTCATCAAGCTGTTAGTAGATAAGATGGGTCGCGATATCATGCCGAGCGCTGAAGAAGACAACGAGAGCCTTTTACAATCAAGTGAACTAAATCTTGAGTGCCTGACCCCAAGTCAAAGGGATTCTAAATCTGGAATGAAGAATTGTGCTGGTTCCCACGTGGCAATTGGCGTAGCCGAATGTTCTTCGAAGCCAGATACGATGCAGATCTGGAAGCATCAACTCTTACTGGCCAGTGTTTCGTTCCTGCATAGGTTAAGAACCCCTAGTATGAGACTAACTCTAGGCTAGGTCCCTTATTGAGTCAAAGTAATGCTGCAATGCTTTGTGAACATTTCTAGAAGACCAGGCAGCAAATTCCAAGGTAGCAACCACATCGTTCATCCGTCTGCTAACCCCCCCTGAGGACCAATGCCGGTCGATAGACTTGGATGTAGACCCGTGAGACCCTACCTCATGTGATGGTATCTCTCGTAGTAGAGGGTCGACGAGATGCTGTGGCGGATCACGAATACCCTTAGGTTCCCGGATGGCTGTCAAGCCATCTCATTACATGCATTCTTTCAAAGTCACGACCCTGGTAGAAGGGAGTATTCATGGCGATGATTTCCTTAGTTTAGACTACCAAAATCGTTCAAGTGGAAGAGACTTTAGAGTTGGTGACAGTTTCATTATGAGACAAGTTGGTCCCCCTCAAGGCCACAAGGTGGCTCATGAGCTCGAATCGTGTTTGATGTTTGGTGAAGTCCTCATCCTAGTTATTCGAAACTTTCAGATCGCGGATTGACTTATGCATCTTGCATCCGCGTTTCGGGTAGCTACATGTGTTCAGACGAAGCACACTGATCAGACGGACCAGTCGAGATTGAGAAATTGAGGCGCGCTGCATCTGTTCGCAGAACTTGCTGCAGGTTTCTGTCACCTCTCGCACGAGTCAGACTGTACATGGAGTTTTAGGTCATCGCCAAGAGGTTGTGTGTAAAACCTCTTGTAGGTATTTTACATCCCTCTGCTCTATGTGACGTGAGATATGGGCTCGACTGAAGGCGCAGGCAAGAGATGTATCGCCCACGATTGAGTCCGATAATTACGGCAATCACACCGACATAAATGTCTCGAGCTGAAAAATAATGGGAGCTTGCGCGAACAAAACAAGGAAGTCACTGCTAGCTGTAGAAAACCGCGATTGTTCCCAAGGTTGAATTTGTATCAGTCGAGCTTTGGGATCAAGATTGCTTGCGTGATCACTGCAATTTGGTGTTCAATAATCTTCTCAACGTGACCACACATGTTCATCCGTACTGCATCTGCATCGACGATCAAAAATGACATAAATTCCTGGTTGAGTGACGGCTGAGAAACGTGCGGGGATGTGAGGTTGCAGCGATGTATGGAGTGAAGATGCATCGCGCAAGGGCATGGTTCCATTACTTCATTTGCGAGAGTTTGCGAGTATCATGCATCTCGGTCGACTTTTCACTGAAGCTCACCATAGGGGCAGAACGGTCATGCCGGGTATTCCACCGGCACCCGAGACACACCACAAGACATGCATCTCACGTGTAAACCACAAGTACGCCGCCGATGGCGATGATCAGTTCCAGTTTCCATGAGACCATTGGATCGCTTGAAGCAAAGAAAGAGGTCACCTGGATGGTTTCTCCTGTCGAGGTAGGTCCCAAGCCATCTGGGCCCAGACCGATAGAGGGAAAGTGGGAAAACAAGACATTTGCCGTCGATCTCGAGCAGCCATCCCCGCATGCACGGTCCGGGGATTAAACAAGGTTCAGCCCCTCCCGCGACGAGGAGAGAAAGGAGAGCCAGTCGGATATGCCCACTGAATCTACCGCTCCCCGCATCAGCGAGAAAGTGGAGGAAAGACAAGAATCTTGGCTGGTGTCGTGCCTGTTGAGGTGCAGATGTCCGATGACTTAGGGTAGCAGTTCGAGATGGATAGATGAGGAGAAGGGGGACAAGGTCGTTTGACCGCCTGTGATCTGGCAAGCGGTGACAGTTCGCCATGACAAAAACCGGACGACTTTTGGCGTTTCTTCTAGTCGAAAGGACCTGTCGATCACTCCTTCGTCCCAAGAACTAAGCTAGCATGATGCTCCAGATTTCTTCTCATCTAGCAGCTGCGCCTCATCAGGATGGGATCTTCTGGGTTAAGGTGGGAGAAGCGCAATGCCCGGTCAGGGTTTACAAACTTTCCATGGTCACACAATATCCGCACCGCTTCTCCTTTTCCGCATCCTCTTTTTTTCAACGTCGTCGGCCACAGATGCCAGCCTAAAACTAGGGGAAGCTTACGACCCTTTCTGCTGGACATTCGAGAACAGACAAGATCGACCGTTGAGAGGTCTTGTGGCCAGCCATTTCCCCCTCTCCAGATGACCGCATCATGCAGCTATTTTGTGCCACCCATCGAACGACTCCACGTGCTGCCCAATGGACACAACCACACAGCTCACATCGTGCAAAGACTAGAAGATTTTTTAGGCTTATTTTCGAACAGCTCCTTTTACTCTTACTCACATGCCATCGGACGATCCAACCAACCAACGCGACGTAGTAGCACTAGGGCGAATCCCGCATGTTCTTCCCCTCATGGCCAAGCAGGCCAAGACATGGGAAACTAAACATTCTGTCGCGAACGCCGATTTCTCCAGTGCGGGGGAGCTAGGTCGTCTAGCTCATCGGCGCGCAACATTGCATTGTCTCCTTTTCGAATGGCACGTCACCGCGAAGTGCCCAACCCCGAAGAGCACGCTGCAAGGAACTTTCGAAAAGCTTGCGGTAGTTCCTCCTTCCCGCCGCCAAGTCAGGTCCAAAACCAGACCACTTGACTCAATGCCGAGATGTCCGGGAGTGGTGGAGAATCTGATGTGCGTGCTTTGCCTTGCTTGACAAGCTGTGCGCTGCCGCAGGTCTTAATACGAAGCTTATAAGTCAGTTGAATGTCAACGCTCGTCCCAAGAGCGAAGAAAGTTTAAATCTTACTTTCCCAGGCAGGATAGAATTATAACAGAAGTAGTCCCCCCTTGAATGCTTTGACCCCTCTTGTTCGCGTCTTATCCTTCGTTCTTTGCATCTTCTTCGAAGCTTCGTCGATAGCTTCCAGTCGACTAGCCCTTTCCCCCCTTCAAGGTAGGACTAGGCAGTTTCCTCACTCCTCCTCGGCGCGCGACTCCAGTCTTTCTTCCACGATGCGTTTCACGCGCTCATTTCTTTCATCCGCATCGGCGGTGCTGTCATTCGCCGTCGCCGCCAACGCGCAAAACGCGACGACGACGGCCGGAGGCTCAGCGCCAACGGCCGGGACCGCGGAACCATACCAGCTACAGACCCCGCCTCTCGACACAGACTGGACAGCCAAGGTCGGAACGAAGCCATGGCCGGAACACCCGCGCCCGCAGCTTCGCAGAGAGAATTGGCTCAATCTGAACGGCCTATGGACCTACAGGGCCGCCAGCAGTGACGACGACGTCAACCACCCGCCCACTAGCGCCGTGCTTGATCGCGAGATCCTCATTCCCTCATGCATTGAGAGCGGACTGTCCGGGATTCAGGAGCTCGGTGTCACTCACTTCTGGCTGGCGACAACGTTCCAGGTGCCCAGCGGCTGGGGAAACCAATCGGTGATCCTCAACTTTGAAGCTGTCGACTACGAGGCGACCGTGTTCATCAATGGACAAAAGGTTGGCTTCCACCGTGGAGGATACTTCCGCTACACGGTTGATGCGACACCTTACCTCAATGCTGGAGGAGACAACACTTTGTGAGTGCTTCATTTCATCTTTTGATTCAGTCCCTTTCCAAACTAACTCTGGGGCTTCTAGGCTGGTGTTTGTCTTTGATCCCACCGACGCGGATGGGTACGTCATCCCAATTGGCAAGCAGACGAGGACTCCTTCGCACATCTTCTACCGGTCATGCTCTGGTATCTGGCAGACGGTTTGGCTGGAAAGCACGCCGTCGACCTACATCACTAAGCTGGATCTCTCGGCTGATCACAACGGAAATGGTAAGAGGCAAAGAGCTTCATGGTATGAATGAGTGGATGTGATTGCTAACCTCCCACAGTGAATGCGCTTGTTCACAGCTCCTCCAACACCTCATCGGAGGTTTCCATTGCGATTCTCGACACAGACGGTAACACGGTAGGAACAGGCACCGGCAACTCTGGAACAGCATTCAACTTCACCGTGCCATCCCCGAATGCTTGGTCTCCGACAAACCCCAATCTGTACAACATCACCTTGAAGATGGGTAGCGATGAGGTCTTCAGCTACACTGGCTTCCGCACCATCTCACATGGTATCGTGGACGGCATCAACCGCCCACTGCTGAACGGAGAGTTCATCTTCATGTTTGGAACCCTCGACCAGGGCTACTGGCCTGATGGACTTCACACTCCACCAAGTGTAGAGGCAATGACGTATGACCTGAAGGTTCTCAAGAACATTGGAATGAACATGGTTCGCAAGCACGTACGTCTAAAATTTGTCCTATGCAGCTTCTCTTGACGGTCAGAGACTAACAATCCGTAGATCAAGGTGGAGCCGGATCTGTTCTACCACGCCTGTGACACCCTCGGTCTGCTTGTCATCCAGGATATGCCAAGTCTGACAGCCAACTCGGCTCGTCTCCCCAACGCCGACCAACAAGCCGAGTTTGAGCGTCAGCTTCAGCTCATGATCGAAGAGCACAAGAGCTACACAAGCATTGTCACTTGGACCATCTACAACGAAGGTTGGGGTCAACTTAGAACACCACCCTACCCGGAAGCCAAACTGGTTGACGTCGTTCGCGGGATTGACCCCACGAGGCTCATCAACGCAAACAGCGGCTGGTTTGACCATGGATCTGGTGACTACGCTGATAACCACCACTACGCTAACCCTCAATGCGGTACACCGTTCTACTCTCTCGCGTCACCTCCCTACGATAACAGGCGCATCGGATTCCAGGGCGAGTTCGGTGGCATCGGACATAACGTCTCGATTGAGCAGTAAGTCTGATATGGAGCTCAATTTCGATCAGGCGAAACTAACACCACATAGTCTCTGGAACGTTCAGCAGGCAATCGACTCGATCAATGCCACTTACGAAATCAACGAAAACCTTGAAGCGTACAACTACCGCGGGCGCGTCCTGCTGAGGGAGTTCCGGGAGCAGGTTGAGATGTACGCCTGCAGCGGCGGTGTCTGGACACAGACGACCGATGTGGAGGGCGAAGTCAACGGTCTCGTCACCTACGATCGCCGCGTTCTCCGACCCGATCTCGCGCAATGGCAGGTCGACATCAAGGCTCTCTTTGACGCTGCGAAGGCCCGAAGCGGTCCCGTCAATGGTACAATGTAAGCAGTGACGGCTACACATCGGTTTTTCCTTTCACTTCTCTTCTTCACACACAACTTATTTGCAACAAAGTTTTTGGGAGATCTAGTAATGCTAAGCGTGGGATACCATAATAAATAGTCCGATCAGGGACGAGGGTCAAATAAGATTCGTTCAATCTGATTCCTGAACCGTATAATGGCCGACGATACCACCATTTCATTTTGAGTTCGATTGTACAACAGTGAAGCACCGTGTCACATTGTTTCGGACGCTAAGCGCGATCTCGACAATCATAAGCAGGAACTTGTGCCGGTAAGCTGTCCATCGGGACAAAGACGCTGGCGTCATATACGGGCGGGAACAGGATACGTCCAGTGCTATCGCCATGGGTAGTTGCCGTCACGTTGACATGTAAAAGCCGGAAGACGAAGTAGATTCTGCTGGGCGGAATTCATGGTTCGTAGTACTATGGCACATTGCATTTAAGGCCGGTGTTATAGACTGCATATAGAATAGGCCGGTCTGGCATCGGCGAAGTTGAATGATCATGATGTTAATGTCAGTTGACCTGTCATATTGACGCGGATTTTGTTCTTCTTAACCTTTCGGGCCTTGAAGATTTACCTACCAAATCCTGGGTTGACGCACACTTCCAGCTTTAAATCGCTGGCCGTATGGACACAGTCTTGTAGTCCCCGCACAAACGCCTTAGTGCTGCTGGCTACGATTGAAAGCCATCGCAGTGGATTCAGTGCATATAAAGTAACTGTAGCCTTCGAATGTGGCCTGTAATACGCTATAGTCTTTGTGCTACTGGGTGATAGATCCGTTGTGGAGGCTGCAATACCGCCTAGAACTTTGTCAATGAACACCGATCTGTCGTCGTCTGACTTAGTGCACAGTCCTCGAAGAGGTGCTTGAAGGTATATCGGTGAAGCTAATTGAGAAGAAAGCAATTCCCGCTTCGCCGAGACAATTTGCAGAAGAAGAGAGCTTTGCTTTTAGAGAGTTCCAAGCGGAATTATCAATTTGATTGTGTGTTCATCTTGTTCGCCCCACGGACGCCCTAGTACGAAGGTTAATAAACAACTGCAGCTCAGTTCATCAGCACATTTGTGGGGGCGAAATCAAACCGAGTCGTGATACACTTAAATACGAAAACTTAAAGGCGCCGTAGGCCGGTGACTTGTCGAAACTCAGCAGAAATTAGGTAGGCGAACTGAATGCAGACTGGCCGGTTGGCAAACACATAAATCCTTAGGCGCTCCCATGTTACCCACGGCGGGAAATATCGTGACTTCACTTGCTTGATCGTCTCGACATACACTCTTTTCCCACAATGGCTCCTCTTTCGCTCTTTTTCTCGTCGCTCCTTTTCTCCGTTGCGCTCGGTGCGCCCCCCGCCTCCAGTGGCTCAAACCTGGGGAGAGATCTTTCTCTCGTTCAAGCTTTCAAGCACAAGATAACCGTCGACCCGTCAGGAGTCACCAAGAACTGGACCGGAAACAATGTCTGCAACTTCGACGGCTTCAGCTGTGCCAAGAACCCCAACACCGGAAACAACGCCCTGTCAGGGATCGATCTCAATGGATTCGGACTTGAGGGCAAGGGCCTGGTCCTCGATGGCTTCCTCGACAAGCTGACCGACCTCACCTTCTTCCACGCCAACAGCAACGGCTTCACGGGATCGCTTCCCAAGGACCTTTCGGCTCTCAAGTGGCTGTGGGAAATTGACGTCAGCAACAACAAGCTTTCCGGACCTTTCCCAACTGGTGTCTTCGACCTCAACTTGACTTTCCTCGATCTGCGTTTCAACGAGTTCTCCGGTCCCATCCCGAAGGAGGCTTTCAACCTCGACCTCGATGTCCTTTTCTTGAACGACAACAAGTTCTCGGGCAGCATTCCTAGCAACGTTGGCTCTTCCCCTGTCATCTACTTGACGTTGGCCAACAACAAGCTCAACGGATCCATTCCTAAGAGCATTGGAAACATGAAGAACGTTCAGGAGATTCTTCTGCTGGGCAACGATTTGTCCGGATCGCTTCCTAAAGACTACAACATCAAGAACCTTACCGTCTTTGACGCTAGCGATAACAAGTTGTCCGGATCGGTTCCCGAGGGGCTGTGCAAGCTCGACACTCTCGGAGTCTTGAACCTCACCAGCAACAACTTCAGCGGAACTCTGGGACCGGCCTGCACTGCTCTACTGAAGAACCACGTTCTTGATGTCACCAACAACTGCATTCAGGGTGTTAAGGGCCAGAAGCCCGCCAGCCAGTGCAACCACTAAGGAAATCTGGAAGAGGGATCTGTGGTCTACGGCATGAACGCACGTTACGAGCTCATAGGGGGTTCTACTCTATCATTAGCCGCAGATAATATTATTGCATAATGCCCCTACAAAGTCTCGGCTTCCAACGACAGGAGTATAACAGTGAAAGATGACAGACGACCCTACGAGTTCAGGAACCTGTCTCTGTGTGATTATTTGAAATATAGAGTAAACTGCCCCCAAACCTGATATGTACTACCGCAAGTTAAGGATCACGATGCCCTATATTCCCCGCGTATCACAGCCCGGAGCCGAGCGCTGCTGCCGACATGCAACCTATCATCGGCCCCACCAACCGGCGTCGGCCCCGCTACCCCACGATTTCCGATCCCCGCAATGTTCACTTTTCTGGGGTTGTCTTAGATCGCATTTGTCATTGGAGTCGGAAACTTCGGTGATAGTATTAAAGTCAGAGGGTAAGAGCGAGACTATATGAGCTACAATTGAGGTGTATTAGGTACTGAATACAAGTTGTCATTGATCCTACGGACATTCATCCCACAATCTCATGGACCCTTCCCACTCTCGAACAACTACAATTTTCTACCACTGATCGATAACTAATCAAGACCTAAAAGACATGGCTGATGTTGAACTTCTTAAGGCCGAACTCGCAAAGACCCATAGACTGGGAAAGTTCATCAAAGGTAGGATTTTATTTACTGTGCCAGAATTTCGCGGAACGATACAAAACGAGGTTTTCTGAAGTACTTGCTGATATCGCCTACAGCCTGGGACCCGCAGGTAATGGGCGTCAAGGATGCCAAACCTCGTACCGTCACAGATGGTCACATCGTCTCCGATATGGATGTTGCCATCCCAGTTAGAGACGGCACAATCCTGCGAGGCAACATTTACCGGCCTCGTCACCTGGAGGGCACGAAACTGCCCGTGATCTTCAACTACAGCGTCTACAGCAAAGACGGCGCCACCGACATTGCAGGTTTCCCACCAAGTGCAGGCTTCGACAAAGCTCGCATCACCAAAGACTACGAGTTCGAAGCGGCGGATCCGGGATGGTGGTGTCGTCACGGGTACATTGTTGCCAGCATAGATGCCAGGGGTTGTTTTCAGTCGGATGGCGACAAGAGTTACTACTCTCGAGATGTCGGAATCGATGGTAAGTGCCTGTCTTGATATCTTCTAACATTATCATTGGAGGAAGAGCCATTTTTAAGCTCAAATATCCCCGCAGGATACGATCTTGTCGAATGGCTTGCAAAGCAGAGTTGGTCAAATGGCAAGGTTGCCTTGTATGGAGCCAGTGGCTATGCAATGGTGCTTTGGCTCGTAGCAGCTGAACAACCTCCATCCCTTGCGGTATGTGTTCCTATCCCTGCTTCGGATCAATCTGAATTGCTAACCACCAAATGATGAAAGGCAATCATTCCAATTGACGGCATGACTGACATGTATCGCGAAATGGCTTTGAAAGGCGGAATCCCCGAAACCCAGTTCAGTGCCGTGTGAGTTTTCTCCCTCCTTTAGAATATTCTTGAACTAGATCCTTCATGAAGTGGAGCTGACTAGAAATGGTTGAAGCTATCCGTACTTCTTCAACTGGGGAAAGAATTACGTCGAGGATACGACGGATGGGGCCAAGACGCACCCATACTTCGATGAGTACTGGCAAAGCAAGATTCCAGCTCTCTCTCAAATCACAGCCCCGGCATATATCATTTGCGGGTGGGGAGATCATGCTATACACACACGTGGGACACTCAACGCCTGGGAGAAGATCGCTTCTCAGGCCAAGTATCTTGAGATCCATCAATATCAAAAGTCAGTCTTTCTCCACTATCGCCGCCAAAAGTAGCGTCGCTAACCTTTGTGTGATGAATGATAGATGGGAGTGGTCGGTTACTGAAGAGTCGTTGGCCCGCCAGAAGGCTTTCCTCGATCATTATCTGCTCGGGCTATCGACAGAAATTCAGTACTGGCCCAAAGTTCGTTACACTATGAGGGAACGCTACTACACTGGGGAGTGGCGATACAGTGACGCATTCCCAATTCCAGAAACCCAATATACGCAGTACTTCCTGACCCCAAGCTTTGGCTTGAGCAAGGTTGCTCAGCGCGCGGAGAGCCAAACATCATACGATGCGAGCGAGGGTGAAGTTGTCTTCGAGCTTCCTCTTCGAAACTCTCTTGAGTTTGCAGGCCATTCCAAGCTCAAACTCTGGGTCGAAGTGACTGATGGTGGCGACAACCTGGATCTTTTCATAACTTTGCGAAAGAAGGATAAAGATGGAAATGATGTGTACTTCCCATGGATCACAGTTGTCGATACCGGCCCCATTGGTTTCGGTTGGCTTCGAGCCTCTCGACGCGAGTTGGATGAGACAGCCTCGACCCCATGGAAACCAGTTCATCTCCATCGAAGAGATCTGGAGCCTCTCAAAGCCGGAGATGTGGTGCCTATGGAGATCGAGATACAGCCCACGAGCTGTCGATTCCGGGCGGGAGAGCGACTTAGCCTCGTAGTCTCTGGACACGACTACGGCAAGTACCCGCCAGGTGCTCCTATCCCCAGGCATAATTCCACAATTAACAAAGGACGCCATGTCATCCATTTTGGCGGGAGATACGACTCGCATCTGTTGTTGCCCGTTATACCACCGGTCAAGGAAGCGTATAGCCAAAAGAGGCCCCTCGTCAAGATGACCATTGCCTGTAGACGGATCCCCGGTTGGGCGGAAGACAAGTTTCTTGAGGAATACACAAGCGTCCATGCTGCAATGACGAAGCATATCTCCGACGTGGTTCCCATCCTCCGGAACTACACTCAGGCTGTTGCACTCCCTCATTCCAGTATTCCAGGCGTTCCGAACGGGGGTCTGGAGCCTTGGGACGCGGTGACGACCCTAGGGTGGACGTCATTGAAAGGTCTCTGGGGCTCATTCCAAGCTCCCGAGTACAAAGCTTCTGCTGGTAAACACGAATTCGCAGACATTTCAGCACAGACAGGCATCCTCAGTCAAAGTTTTGCGGAGAGTCTGTTTGACCCCATCCTCTTTGAGAAGCGTAAAACCAAAGCAGCATTGCTGCTGATCTTCCTAGCAAGGTCTCAAGACGCAGCCTACATCGAAAACGACCTTACTAGTCGAGCAGCGTCCATCACAGAACTCGGAGCCGGTACATCTTTGATGAGATATGTTCTCAACCGGGAAGTCACCCCCGAGGATACTACCAGTTTCTTCGCCGGAACGCCTTTTGCCACTTCCGACTGGCACACGATGGCTGCTTTCGAGCAGTACTGGTTCCCAGACCGAGCCTCCGCGGCAAAATTCCTAAGCGAGAAGAACAAGCTTGAAACTCTTTTCAAGAAGTTGCCAAAGTCTTTTGACGCAGAGAAGTCTTTTGCGGTGATCGGAGATGAGAATATCGTGGTCAAGAAGGATTTGGAGTTCTAGCTTTATTGTAAATACCTCAAGGCACCGCGAGAACTGTAACATGAGTGATCTACGAACTGACTTCAGAATTTGAATCGGTGATATTTGATTGTCTTTGAATGGTATTACACCTTCAATCCAATTGCATGGTAATACGGGAGGTCCCTGATAGCGACAAAGATTCTTCGACAATAGGGTAGCAAATGGAGACCCCAAACAAGAGAGATTATCATCGTATTCCACGATTCGACCTCCATTGCGCCCTCATGACCATACTTACAGCCAGACCCAAAGACCAGCCCGATTTCCGAGTCAAAATCCGCACACTCTCTTGAACCAAACGATCGGATGCACGTTCATCATTTAAATCTCCAATGCCCGCCACGTATAGTCGGAAGTCAGAGTCCCCTGATAGCCATTGAACCAAGGCCTCTTGATGATTTGGTTTATCAAGACGAAGAGTTCTGAGAGAGCTCGTCTGATGCCTGTTGAAAAGAGTGTGAATCCACATGGAGAGTGTGGCGTACAGCAAGGCATTATTCTCATGATGCCCACAAGTGGGATGATTCCGAATATACGAGAACAATTTGGCGGCATGATAGATAATCACGCGCGCCTTTCCCTTATTCTGGCGGAGCCATAGAGAAAGTCTCCCGTCTGCAGCTTCTCTAACTTGAGGGCTAACGCCCCAGCCAGAAAATGCAGTGAGTACCCGTAAAGGCATATGGAGAAGGAGGCTGAAAGCGTGGTTGTGCTGAAGTGTGATCCTCTGAATTTTGCCGGTCGGCGGCTTTATGTCTTCGTCGCCACGCAAAATTTCGAGGTAGTGAATTGCGTCTTGATTGTTCGCGGAGTCTCGATACACGGCAAAAGTAAGGAAGAGCCTATTCAAGCTACTCAAGCCTTCCTTTACCTTCTCGTCACGCCAAAAGTGTACAAGTTGTTCTCGAAGAAGGCTGTCATTGGCTAAGTCTTACCGGTTAGTGGTCTTGTTCAATACCTGCGGCGTACGGGGCATTGCTCACTTGGTGATCTGGAGGCTTGATCTGCCCATATTTCTGCAGAATCCGATGCCCAAAGTCCTTCGTCAGACGGCAGCGGGAGTAGTAGGAGATCTGTGGGTATAGTCGGAGGCAAATCAAAGAACAAGCCCAGTTGACCGTCTAATAGCTTGAGATCAATTGCAGTGTCAGCTTTTACGCGCTTACAGACTGGAAAAGGGATTTGGTGAATTACCCATGAGAGATGCACAAGTCTTCTTTTGCTTTCCGCAAAAATCCATCTTTTCCAACTGGCTGGCAGGGGTGCAATATCCTCAGAGAGTGACTGAGTGTCGCTGAAGTAGCCTGCTCGTCGGCAAAGTGTCGCGAGTAAAGACATGTTTCTTTGGGCGTGCTCGGCGAAAGACATGCTTCCAGAAAACATCAACCCTATCTGACCCAGTAATACAGCTTGTGTCAAGCACAATTCTGAAGCCGCATCCGGCACAGGGTCAAGGTCCAACTTTGCAGGTTGTTAGTATAGACTGCCTTCTGTGCACCGGTAGGCTTCGACTTGAACTTACACAAAGGTTGATCGAGCGCCGCAGAAGCTCTTGCAAGAGGAAGACATCACTTAGTGTGCCAAACTTCGAAAACCCGCACCCTGTCGCCGCAACGGCGAGAAGGAGTATCCAATGAACACGGTCTGGGTCGAAAGTCTTTTGATGGAGCAAAGGCCAGATAGGGTGGTAGTGCTCAAAATGAGATTGGATGTATACGTCAACGGCCTCTCGAGATGGAAATGACTTATCTGTGAATGCTTTGCAGTAGTCTGTGTCCGCATTTAGCTTTTCAAACTGTGCTTGGAGAATCGAGTAAGCTTGCGGGCTTAAGCTCGGAACATGGTCGTAGGCTTCGAGATCCCAGTCCTCCTCATTTCCATCGACACCTTCGGGATGGAAGGAAGAACCTGCAATTCGACTGAGGTCTTCGAGACCATGGGTAACGAAGTGCCTTTTTCGATGGACCTGGTTCTGTTCAATCTCCGTGGAGTCGTCGTAATCTCGACTGAAAGCCGATGAACGCAGAAAAGCATATGCGAAAGTAGAAGAAAGTTGAGAGTGATTAGTAAAAATTGCCCTTGGGGTATCTTCTGATAAGAGAGAAGTTGGCGTAGGTTCTTGAATAGCTGTTTCTGAGACTGCGCCGTCTACTTCTGCACGAACAGAACAATCCTGGGCTTCTTTGCGTCTTTCATTAGATGCATATTCCGAGATAAGCTGAGGCCGCAAGCCATCTTCATCAGCCATAGGGGCAGCCGTGGTATTTTCTTGTGTCGCCAACTCATTGTTCAGGAAATCATCCCAGCTCAGCCATGCATTAGCTGTCGAAAATGGAAAGCACCACTGGCTTGGTGTGCGAAATAGCGGATCCAGCTCCAATTGGAGCCCATCTTGGTTCCAGAGAGCAGCGAAATTGTCTCTGGCATCTGGGCCTGGTTCCTGAGGTGGCTCTTCTTGCGAATTTTCCACCTGAGTTTCTGGCAACTACAAGGTTGCGTAAGTTCAGTTGCAGATTACCGTTCTCCTTATCCATAAAGGGGGTTTCATGAGGGAAGCTACAAGATGGTAGTCACTTACAACTTCGTTACTGATGGTTGTTGCAATCTGACCAGGAAGACCCGATGAACTGAGCCCATCAAAGATTACCCCGGTCTCAGATACTGATGCCCGAAAGTCCTGGGAAGAATCAGGGTTACGGCGGTCGTCATTTGCATAAAGGCAAGAACGATTCCTGGAACCACATCTGGCGCAGGGATTGGCACCATCACAACGCTGTTTCGAGCGCGCACATTGCTGGCAAGCTTTAGGAACGCAATGCCGGCGGGTTTTCCTCGGAGTATCGGAGCCTGTGGGTGGAGAGTCAACGTCTACATGACTCTGCATGTGACGCTGAAGAGAGTCTCTGCCGGGGTTGAAGATCAGCCACTTGATTCGGGTAGGGCCTCCTCAACGAGGCGATTGTACACCTATCAACCTATGACATGCGAGACTCGTGTTGCTCAGAACATCTTACCTTCGGGCAAAGCTAGCGGTGCACGTCGGGCACGCAAAAGGGCGCACGCCGAGATGACGAAGAAAGTGGCGGTTGAGATGCTCCGTACGGCGGAACTCGGCTTGACAGATGTCACATTTCAGAGCCATGGTCTCGCTTCGACCCCATCGGAAGTAGGAAACGTAGAACGTAGACGTATTCTGTTACAACTCTGAGTCTCCGACCTGTTATGGAGTTGCCACGGGTGGTTGCTGAGGTAGGCTGGTGTCGTCGGAGGTTGTGGGGTAGTTGCCACAAAGAGCTCGAGTGTTTTTCGGAGGCTGCGGGGGACTTTCATAGCTCTATATACCCCTCTCGGAATAGAGAATCGCGGGGACAGAGTTTGTGGGGATGGCATCTAACGCGGATGCACGAGACGGCCCGAGTCAACTACCGGCGTGTCAGATCACGATTTGGCCGAATAAAAAGATCGGCTTCTATGAACTGTCCGTCGCCGATTTGCGGTGTAGCAACAGAGGCTCATACCAGCGATTCGTGTTGCAGTCGCCCATCCGTACAGGATGCACCCTGGTCACACCTATCGAAGCGTCGACCCTCATGTCACTAGTAAGAAAAAGGTCGTCCATTGGCTCTACGCCACCTGACAACTCAGGTACAGATTGACCAAGCGCTCCTTAGTCCCATACGAGGTATTCGCATGTCAAAATTGGTGGAGAAATGTGTAAAGCACCTTTAGATTGCAACAACTAGGGTGTCAACGTAAAGCATTGGCCTCGGTCCTTCAGGGTGCGGGGACTAATCTGGTGTAAATGTACTGACTATAAAGGCGACTCATGATGCCATACGCTCTCTAGATACTTCATGCTATATTCCTCTATCTTCACTTGCTTCCTCTGTCACCTTACTTCAACATAAGTCGAATATTAGGATACTATTAGTGCCATTAGCCGATAGCTCCCCTTCACTTGGAAGACTTACCTACCGCGCTCCTTTTTCACCATGGCCACCGATTTCTCCAAAGTGGGAAGATTCACCTCTTCGCCAGCCATGACTGAATGGGATATCATTGTCGTGGGATCCGGCCATAATGGCTTGACCGCAGCCGCGTATCTGGCGGTAGCTGGAAAGAAGGTCCTTGTCCTCGAAAAGGCTTCTTACCCCGGAGGTGGGGTGGCCAGCCTGCAGATGGCCGAGCCAGGATTTATCAGCGAACGTCACAGCGCCATTCATCAAATGATTCTCGCAAACCCCATGATCACTCATGATGAACTTGGTCTGCAGTCTCGGTACGGCCTCATTTACAAGCAGCTAGACCCATGCTATGCCATCGTCATGGAAGACAAGGTCCTACCCATCTACAGAGAGCGTCACAGGACCGTCGATGCCATTCGAGAGTTCTCGTCGGAAGATGCCGATGCCTACAATGTATTTGTGGACAAATGTAGACAAATCACCGAGCTTTTGATACCCTCTATGTTCGAACCTCCCCGCGACATGTCGGCGGATATTGCCAGCAGTCCATCAGCCGAGGAAATTGTCATGGCATCGACCAGCTCCTCCTTGGAGATCATTCAGAGATACTTCAAAAGCGAGGTTCTACAAGTTGCGTTGCTGCGATTCGTAACTGAGATTCAACTTGCTCATCCAAAATCGACCGGCACGGGCTTAATGGCCTACTTGGCATTTGGACTTCTCGACATGTATGGCCTTTGCGTTCCCAAAGGCTCTGGATCTGTATGGACAGAGTCCGTCATTCGTTGTCTCAAAGACCACGGCGGCGACGTCAAGTTGGACACAGAAGTCATCAAAGTCATCACCGAAGGCGGGCGTGCGGTCGGGGTCAGAACTCGTTTTGGAGAACTCAGGGCAAAAGACGCCGTCATCGGGCAAATTCATCCTCACAATCTCGGTCACCTCGTCGACGGAATCGACCCTTCAGTCATTTCGGCCGCCTCGAATACCCGCACCTCTGATTTCAGTCTTCTCGTCGTTCACGCCGCTCTCGAACGCCCGCTCAAGTTTAAAGCAGGGCCAATCGCCGACAAGGCTGTCATGAACACTTGCTGCCCAGGAAACCTCAAAGACCTTATCCAGAGCTACGACGAAATGAATCAAGGAATCCTCCCAGAGAATATCATGATCGGCGCCTCTTGTATCAGCTCAGGTGACGAGACTCGCTGCCCGCCAGGCAAGTCGCTGCTTCACTGTGTTGTCATGTGCAAGTCAGAGCCTGCTGACGGCGGCTGGGCTGCGTGGGATCGCATCAAGGATGACTGGGTGCAGAGAGTCTTCTCGTACTTCTCCAAGTACCTAGAAAACTTTACTCCCGACATCGTTCGCTCCTATCATGTTGTTACTCCTCCGGACCATCAGTCCGACAGCGCAAGTTTCCAACGCGGCGACATTGCCGGTCTTTCTATGGCGGCAGACCAAATGGGAATCAACCGACCCACACCTGCCCTCGCTCAGTACCGCGTGCCTGGAATCAAGGGTCTGTACCTTGCCGGACCTTTCATGCACCCAGGCGGAGGTGTCTGGGGAGGTGGTCGTCCGGTAGCTAAGAGAGTGCTCGAGGATCTTGGAATCGACTTCGATAAGAAATTTGTGCACGGCAGCTCGCGCCTGTGAAGGTGTTCAGGTCAAGTATAATAAGATAAAAGCGCTCTGAGGAGGATCTGCGGGCACTTGCACAATGAGAAGGGTGTGAGGGGTGTCTGCGCGTCGAAATAACTAAGTCGATAGCCTGTAGTTCACGGTCAATTATCCATACAATTCTCAAATAGAGCCCACCCATGAACTCATCAATATCATTTCTGTGGTATGAGAAGAGTCATGGATATCGAGCGCATTCTATTATCTCTACCGCTTTGAATCGTAGCCCCTGGACTCCGCGTCTTCTTGACGTATGGCCGCTCAAGGCAAGACATAGCCGCCGTCAATAAGGACATCGCTACCAGTCATGTAAGTAGAAGCATCGCTCGCCAGATACAGGTATAGGCCCTTGATCTCCTTAGTATGGCCTTGTCTTCCCAGAGCTGCCATGCGGTATGCTTCTTGCAGAGCATCTGGACCAGCACCCATCTTGGTGTCGAAAAATCCTGGAGATACAATGTTGACACGGGCAAACTCTCTCCACTCGCGGGCTAGGGACTTTCCAAAGTGCGTGACGTAAGCCTTGGTGGCGTTGTAGACGGGTTGATCAACAGGGACGTTGACGATGTGACCGCTCATGCTCGAAGTGATGATGAGATTGCCGAAGCCTTGGCTCTTGAATACTTCACCAGCATACTTGGAGCAGTACACGATTCCGTCCACTGATAATTGTGTTAGCTCGGAAATTCTATAAGGTAGCGTGTCTTGGCCGACTTACCGTTTACCGACATCTGTTTCCTGTATTCATCCAGGGTTTGCTCCAGAATGGGCTTTGAAATGGCCATTCCTGCATGAAGTTAGTCACAAGTAGGTCAGAACCAAAGCGTGTGGCCAGCACTGCATCACTCACCAGCATTTGCAACGAACACATCAATCTTGCCAAAGTCTTTCAATACCTTGGCAATAGTCTCTTGAACCTGGTTGGAATCGGACACTGAATGGATGTTAGCCTTCATATTCCTACTACTAATTCAACAATCCGGCAAACTAACCATCCACTTTGTAAGCCGAGGTCTTGACGCTGTGTGTGCTTGCTAGATCTTGTGCCTTTTGAATTGCAGCATCATTTCTGTGACGTCATTAGCCATCGAATAGCTCCAAAGACAAGGCAGTATGCCAGAGAGGCCTTTTCTTACGAATTGTACCACAAGGCAACATTGCCGCCGGCCTCTGCCATGGCCTCGGAAACAGCATAGCCAATACCATCAGCAGCACCAGTGACCACGATGACTTTGCCCGTCACTCTCAATTGGTCTAGGACGTTGGATGGTGTGTTGGGGAACGGGCGGGGGAAGCCTTCCCGGGACTTTGCGCAATCTTCAGTAGACATCGACATCTTGGAGGTATTGTTTGCTGGTTTGAAGGACTTGGAAATAACAATAACGTCGGATTGAAAACCAGCAATACGTATGAGTTGTCAAGCTGCGATCTTTATTCGAAAGGACCAAGACCACAGATCTCCGCATCGGTGCGCTGTCGTCCGAAGGAGGGGACATTTGGTGGGGGCTCTTCGGTCCACTGGCACTGGATCATTGGGGCGGATGTGAGCCGTCGGCCGGTCGAATCCCGGCCGGAGTCTTTATCGCAGCATTTTAACTCTTCTGAAGAGGCGCCAGAAACAGCAATAGACTACTCTGAGATCTAGCAAATGGCTCAAGCTTACAGGAAATTGGCTCTGTGATATGTCGACCATGTTCAATTTTCGACCCTAACTTCCATTTATTGACAGCACCGCCGGTGCTCTGCCTGGAATATCGAACCGCTCCCCCCCAATTGGCTCTACTCCTTGCGAAGATCTGAGCAGGATCCATCACACATTCCGCTATCAAGATTGCCATGACTGACGGTTGAGATTCAACGTGATTCCTCCATGAGAAAAACAACTTCACAACTTGGGGCTGTCAATGCAGTAAAGGCATCTACCGCCTGTTGAGCTGTGTTTGCAACAGTTTCATGGCAACCTCGCAGTATCAAGGATGTTGCTTGTTAACATAACTGGCTTCCCATGGCTCAATGCAGCATGCCTAACTTCAGGGTAGAGCACAAATCACGAACGAACCTATGCGAGTCGAAACCTTGTTCATCTGTTTGCTGGCTCTCCACCTTACTCGTCCCCGTCCCCGGGAGCCTCAAATCCGACCTAAAACATCCCTCGATAGTTCAGATGAAACTCTTTGCGAGGAAACCTTCGTGGTAAAATTGCCATCACCACTGTTCGTGAGTGAGGAAAATGTGTTTTGTAGAGCAACTGAAAGAATGGATATATGGTCTTGGGCCTCCCGTTCCCAATTTCAGGAACCAGGTCCTATCGTCTTATCTAGCCTGCCTCCTAGAGCGACTCGAATTATCAACAGCAGTTACGATGGAGTTGGTCTTCCACTTTCAGCGCGCACTGACGCTAGCGCTTGTCCTTCTCTTCAGTGGGGTTCAGTGTCTGCCACAGCAGACAGGTGGAGAATCTCCTGCCGACAGAGCGAACAAGATACCTCAAGGTATTATGCCCGCAAAGGATGGTTCCATTATTCTTGATACTACAGAAACAATCAAGTAAGTGAAGCTTGGAAAGAATAACCCCGCTATGCACTTTCAGCGGAGCAAGCGCTAATTTTTGAGCTAGCAACTTGAAAATTCGCTTCCGCATCAGTGGTCCAGCAGGTGAATTTACAACAGCAAGCAAGGTACCCGGGGGCGGCAAGACAACAGGCGCGAAGGGCAACCTCGGGCTTCACGTCCTGCTACACGGTGACAGCGGCTCGTCTTTCTTCGAAATGCCAAATCAAGGCGTAAAAAACAATTTGGCGGGTGTCACAGTACTTTCTCCGGACAGAAACCTCCACTGGGGAGGGGGTTCTGGGTTCAATCGCACAGACGGCGTGGCGCACGCTCAAGCAGTCAACGATCTCGTCTTCCAGACCCTGCCAAAGTACATGGCCTTCAATTCCTCTAATGTCTTCTTCTCTGGGATCTCAGGCGGGTCCCTTCTGCTTTCCGGATACTTCATGCCGGCGCATATGGGTAACTTCGCCGGGAATGGGGTGATGCTTGGTTGCGGTGCCATGGAACCCCGTGTCGAAGTATCGCAGTCCTCTCGCGACGCTCTCATGAAAACTCGACTTCACTATCAAAGCACCCAGAAGGAACTTCAGCACCTGCAAGGATCAATCTCTGCCACCATGAAGGCGTACGAAAAGGTTGTCAAGGACAAGGGAATGGAAATAGAAGCAATCAACAAGCTTCAGACAGCCAATAACAAGCCCGTGGGAGGCCATTGTCAATTTGACGAGAAAGGGTTTGACTCCGGAATCCAGCTCATTGCTGACAACTATGCTGCGATTATGCAAGGAGGAAACGGCGAAGTTCCGGGTATTGGAAATGTGCTCAAGGGTGTTTCCGGTCAAGAATTGAAGTTTTCGGATGGCGGTGCTCCTTGAGCAAGCCGAGCCAGTTATCTTAAACCGACACGATGGTGTTTCTATCTGGCGAACTCCGAGGTCTTTTATCAATATCTTCATGTTGACTACCAAACCGATTCCTATTAATATAGCCCCATTATCCGTGAAGAACCTGGAATTCAATGTTTCATACGCCTACAGCGCAATCCGACGCAACTGCAAAGTCCTAGTTGGATGTGATCAAGAAAGCAGAGAGATTGCGACCACTCGGACTTCATTTATCATTCCTATTTCGATGTTTGATCTTGATAATCTAGCGGAACTTACTGGATCGTAATTTTCGAAGGCAAAGTCAGGTTGAATCCAAAAGAATTCAGTCGATAGCGAATCGACATTTGCTGCTCCAGTCCATCGAGCTTATCAGTTGGCCCATCTCGCCATGAAGCTAACCACTGGTGTTGGCCCAAGTGCTGCAAGATCTCCCACTTTTTCTTGAAATTGCGTCCTACTACTTCCCAGTTCCACAAACAGTCTCTCGTAGAGTGTGACCACGCTATCTCCTTTGTTTGAGATTTCAGCCTTTCATCTATGTAAATGGAAGGGCGTGACTGTTCATGTTCCTGCTCCATGTGCGGAAATAATTTCAAGGTACAAGTAATGGCCTCCATGGTCCCAATGATATTGCTACGTTGAGGTAGCATCTTGTTTTCGAACCTATCCCATGCGTTCAGCCAGAGTTGTTGCATCTCCACAGATGACCGAATTCCAAAACAATGCTCGTCCTCGTATTCAGTAGCATGGGCCATGGCAAATAAGAGGTCGCTAGTTATGTCCGCCCACTCTTGAAAGCCCTTCAGTAGCTCTTCATCCGAAAGTGAGACTTCCTCCGCATCGACAGCTTTATTGGCGCGGTGCCTCGTCTTAGGTAACAACGACCATAGGAGGGTTAAGAGGGACTCTGAGGACCTCAGCATACAACTTTTGTAAACGAAGGCCTGTCGAGGCCTACCGTCTTGCCAAGTTCCAAGCGTGATATGCTCTGCCCCAGTTATGCTACGAAACAGTAGCTGAATCCCCCGTTCATCCTCAAGGTATGGTTTCAATTTGGCTTCGAGTTGCTTCCATATCTTCCAAAGGCGCATTTTTGAATCGCTCTTATGGCGGGCGATATATGTGACGAGCTTCAACAAGAGAGGCTCTGCTGGCAACTCCAACATCCGCTGCACACAGTCTTCTCCAATAATGGAACGGCAACCTTCAATGAGATACCTTTTATGTTCTTCCAGTTGTGCCTGCTCGCTTAGGCTGAAAGGCTTGCAGCTCATGTTTTTTGCTACTTCACCTGTGTCGAGGTCTTCAAATTGTAGATCACAGGCACACAGGAGACGGTAAGCTGAAGAGGCACAGGTTGACCGTAGCACTGCATACCCGTGGATGCCGTGAAGCCAGACAATATTGTCATTTTGTTGTATGAGGTGGGAGACGTCAGCTGCATTGGTCTCTCGGTATATGCGTGATGGATTTGGGAGAATTAGTGTAACTTTCATTTCCGGACCGTTTTTGAATCCAGGTCGAACAAATGAATGCCGATATCGACCGTCCTCGGTGAAAAAGCTTCGAAGATTACAAATCCTGATTGCCGTGACCTCTAAGTATCCGCTTCGCGACATGATATGGATATCGAAGGGAGAGGGCAGTTGCAAGAAGAGAGTTCCCATGTTCAATACGGCGTTATCGAGCCTGGACCTCTCACTCCCCTCAATTCTTCCGGATTTTACGAGCCGCTCGTAAAGGTTTCCACCACTGCCCCGTTTACGAAACGGTACCTGTATGTCTGGAATCCAGGAGGGCAGAGTGCTCCGCCTAGCTCGGTTTGCACCTGCAAAGAGAAGAACGGCCAAGCCGAGGCCACATTTCTGCGTCAAATATGCCGCAATACCAATGCTGACCTCTTCTACGGTAAGCTTGTAGTCGGGGTAGATTGGCCACATATTCCATCGCGAGGCTAAGCCTAGCAGAGCGAATACTTTGTCCCGGGGATCCTTGCATAAACAGTCGCTAGTGTCTATCATGAGGCCGAGAAGATTTTGTAGAGGACAGATTGTAGCTTTGTCCCGCGTGATCATCCAGGAGTGATGAAGGAAAGGGGTCAACATTCCCGAGAAAGGCCAAGGAGTTGACCTTGAGCCACAGTAAAGCGTCAGCTTTCTGCTCAGAACAACTTCCTGAACAACCCACAGCCTCCGGAAGTACGGTCGACTAAGAAGCATCTGGATAGGTCCTTCACATTCTGCACAAGCTTTTCTCTCTTCCCCGTTGTGACCACAGTTGCGATGAGACAGTGAGTTGAATATAGCCGTGAGGGCTCTGTCGCTGTCATCAGTAGCTGAGCCAAGGTATGCCAAAACCCCAATGGCCGTGGCGTATATCTGTGGCATGAGAGCGACTTGAGCATTTCGCTCTTCCTTGTCGTCCTGATTGATACATAGAGAATCGATCCAAATAGTCCGAGAGCTACCGCCAAACAGTCGAACGCTACGGAGAGCATTTTCGCAGTTCCGAGTAATGGGGATGATATCCCAGTATGGTCCAATGAACATTGGTCTGCGCCTGACAGAGTCTCCAGAAGAATCGGCCCAAGTGTATGACAGGGCCTCATATCTTGCCCTCTTGGATTCCAACAGCACATTATGAAAATTTCCATGCAGAATGCTACCGTTGTCTCCTGAGTCGAGTTCCAACATTCGTATTTCCCGGCTGCCCCACAGCATCGGGTAGCATCTTGAGGGGCGATACAACTCGTCAGCGATCAAGAGTTTTCTTCGCTTCGTCCGTGACTCTTCTGCCGTCGGGAACTCTTTCGAAGGCGGGTCTGATCTCTTCGAGGGAGAATTTGTTCTTAGAGGGGTTGACCCTCCTCCGAGAGGAAAGGTAGAGCTTGAGCTCGAGCTAGCAAAGGTGTCCGACGGGATTTCTGGTCCAGAGTCGGTGTAGTTAACGCAAGAAGGCCACCGAAGGTTGTACTTGGAGTTATTTTCACGGACAGGAGCTTGTGTCGATCTGAGAGAAGTGTCAAACTGGACATCGTCAATCGATGCTACTCCGTAGCAAAATCGACAGCATGGAAGGCCGCCGCAGACCACAACATCAGGCCGGGAGCAGCCGCGTTCGTGCCATCTAGACATCGCGATACGGGATGTTGAAGTAAATTCGGCAACTAATGAAGTATGGTGCGCTCGGAAAAGAAATGATCATCTTCGTGTTGTCTGGAAAATTGATAAAGGCCATGCTGTCAGCTCCGGAGCCTGATCGCCCAAGTGAATCAATCAGGTGATCCAAGTACTATGTATGTATACATGCACCTAATGTGGCTTCGCAATGGTTCTGCTGGGGTTGAATCGCCATCGATGCTATTCGTCCAGCTTGATGGTCCTATAACTGAATAAATTACTAAAGTGCTGTGTGTCATAGGCAAGCAAGGTCGAAATCTGGTAGTCAGCGGCTTACTAGTAAGCCCGCATGGCACCAGACACAAAGCCCCGATTACAACCATACAGCCTCATTGTAGACTGCATGTGCTGTTTCACACCTTTGAGCAAGTTCATCCCAGTGAGGCTTGATTAAAAAAGACTGATTCAGAGCCGTTTCTGAGAGACATCCTTTGCTTGCATATCATTGCAGCACTGAGCGTATCAAGGACTGGACACAAGTATGCCCCGCGCTTAATCACCTTTGAGCCTTGGCCGTGTGGTCTTGATAGTTAACAAGTCACTGCAGCAGACGTGAGTTAAGCATTTGTTCAATATTCTTATTGATTCATATGTCTTGTTCAACTTTCGCAGGACGCATTACACAATGGGGTCAACTATTCTGTCTTCCGCATATTTCATGCGTGGAAGCGTCTAAGAGCGCGAGCAGTCTGGTTACCCTTGGAACCCTCAGTATCAAGAACAGCAACGCTAAGCTCAGGGAGGCTGAAAGTGAAAACACCATCGGCGTTGGCTACAACAGTAGTAGTGTTGCTAGCGACAGTAGTCTCACCACCGTTGAGGGGATCGTTGTGCGCAAACGGATCGCCGCTGGGGTTGGTCAGGACAGTCAGGGAGGCAGTAGTGCCAGCAGTGACACCCTCAAACGCGAGGTTAATATCAACATCAGCGCTGTCGGTAGTGTTGTACACAGCACCCTTCCAGATCAAGCTGCCCTTAGCCTCGTTCTTGCCAGCGACCCAGTAAGCAGGGCCGAAGTCGCCGACGGTGGGAAGGGTGTGCGACAGCGGGTGTGCGGCAAAGAGCTCCCAGACGAACCAACTGGTTGACCGCGTAGTCAGCGCCGAGTCAGCGGCGAACTGAACGATAGTGACGGCCCATTGCCAGCGGTTCATGTTGCGAAGAACGGGAGCGTAGAAGGTTCCCGGGATGCGGTCGGCGTTGCGCTCATAACCAATGAGGGAGACGGCCTCGCCGACGGTGCCGATCCACCAAGGGAAGGGCATCAGGTCGCCGTCCCAGCCGGTGCCGCCGTTGGGGTGCGTGGCAGCGACCTCGCCGACAATGTGGCCAATGTCGTTATCGAAACGGTCAAATTCGTCGACGAGAGCGTCGGGGGTGCGGTAAGGGTGGTAATCACCAATGCCAGGGGCAGGAATCTCGAAACCATCACCGTCGGTGGTGGCGCCGGAGGAGATGACGGTGATGTCGGGGTACTTGGCCTTGATAGCCTCCATGAACATGGGGAAGCGGTACTCCTTGTACGAGGTCCAGCCGCCGGGGTACCCGGCGAGCCAGTCCTCATTGCCAATCTCGACGTACTCGAGCGTGAAAGGCTCCGGGTGGCCGAGCTCGGCACGGCGGGCACCCCACTTGGAGTCGACGGGTCCGCGGATGAACTCGATCTGGTCGAGGGCGTCGTCAATGAAGGGCTGGAGGTCTTCCTTTGCGGTCACATCGCCGTTGAGGGCGAGGCCGGCCCAAACGCCGATGACAACGTCCAGACCCATGTCCAATGCCCACTCGAGGTACTCGACGAGACCGAGGCCGTGGGTTTGCTGGTAGCCCCAGACGCCCTGGAAACCGGGGCGGTTCTTAAGGGGGCCGAGAGTGTCCTTCCAGTCCCAGTAGGTGCCGTTGTTCAAGCCCTCCAGCATGTTGCCACCGGGGAAGCGGAGCAAGCTCTGTCTACCAGTCAGACGCGTGTTCTTGTTGTAATTTGATAGGATTGGGCAAGATTCTTACGGGGTGTAGTCCAGCCAGAGCCTCGGCGATATCAACACGAAGACCGTTCTTACGGCCCTTGTAGGTGGGAGGGAAGAGGCTGATCAAGTTGAAGTCCAACGAGCCGTCGGCAGCGCCCTAAAAGCGAGTCGTCAGTATATGTGGCTCAGCTTGGAGATGTGTAAGAGGTTCATACCGCAGGATCAAAGGTAATGGCAAACGTGTTGTTGCTGTTGGGAGCATCCTTCTCAGGAGTGAGCTCAACCTCGTGCTCAACCCACTCGTCGGCCGATGCCTTGGACTCAATCTCGACAGAGCCAAACACGTCCTCGTTGAGAGCGGACTTGAGGCTAGCAGTAAAGACACCGTCGTACGAGCCCTTGACCCAAAAAGAGCCAGTGTACTTCTGCACCTTGACGTCCATGCCCCAGTAGCCATCGTTCTCGAGGCCGATAGCGCCGGAGCCGTTGCCCCCAGCGACGTTGACGGAGACGGGGAGGGCGGCAGAGAGGGGCTCGGTGAGGTTCTTGAGGGTGAGCTTGGCGCCGTTGATGGCGTGCCAGGCGTCGAGGGAGACGGGGAATCTGGGGCTGAATTGGAAGGCTCGGTTGCGGATCAGCTCGGCATAGATGCCACCATCACCAGAGTTGTTGATGTCCTTGAAATGCAGATGTTAGTTGGAAGACCTCCGGGCAAGAGACGGCATTGATTCACAAACCTCATGGAGGAATCCGTACTGGTGGCCACTGGTGGCATTGCCACCGGATGCCTTGATGGAGACATCGACAGCAGCAGCCGAAACGGCGTAAGTAGCGGCCAGAATGGCCGACTTGAGCGACACCATGTTTGCTTCCCTATTGCTTGAGATTGAGGTTGCAACGACGCGAGGGTGTCAAACAGAAGGAACCATCAAGTCGACTACGAAGGGGCATCCTCTTTTTAAGGAACCCCAAGCTCCACGGGTACACGATGAGCTGATCCCCAAGGGACTCCATGGACCGGGGAGAATGTTGCCATACTTGCGTAGCATCGCATGCGAACCGGGTGGAGGAAGAACATGTGCTCATTTCGCCCGGATGGACAGGGCCTTTGGAAAAGATCGCCTCGCAATGAAGCGGTGTTCCTGACGTGCCTGATCACCCCGCATCCTGCTCAGATAAGGTGGCACCCGGCGTGAACGTCTCTTCGCCCAGACGGCAGAACCCACATCGTGAGCGTCGCTTGTCGGTGGCTTCAGGACCGAGGACGAGCAGTCTTGGCAAGATTTCGCCCCGCGGACTCTACGGATACCAGGGGGGGCTTCTTTGCTTCAGCTCGGTTGATATTTCGCGTCTTCATCTGCGAGCACTGAAAGAGCAAGGGTCTATGGTCCGGAGCAGAAGTAACAGCAGCTTGGATTGGGTGTTTGCGCACAAGTTGTGAAGAGTACCGTTACATCGGCCGCGCACCGGTTGATGTCTGAAGCTTCGCGCGCGAACGTGAAAGTAGGACAACGTTATTTAACCCCCCCTTGCAAGCTTCCCCTCCTCCGCTCCTGTGGGGAAATACCTGGAGGACAAGGAGGAGGACATGGTGACAAGGGCAGAACTTTTGACTTCTTGAGATGAAGAGAATGAGGGGAAGTTGGAGAAAGAGGGAGCGGTCCGCGGCCTGGTCTGGGATATCCCCCGGATCCACCCTCGTCATCTACCGGTTTCCGAGCGTGGCGATGGCGTCCTCTCATTCGAGCGCATCAACAACAATATCGGGGCTCTCTTTTTTACCGCCAAAGAGAGTGTGTCTGCCCCATGTGCGCGAGCACATTGTCCCTGGCGCTAGATGAGAGCATGGCACGCATCATGACTTGATCATAGTGTATTCGGGTTTTGTGAATTCCTGATGCCGGTGGGGCAGCAAGTCATCAACAGTTCAACAGTCATCAAGTCCTTCCCATTACCTTAGCCTTACATACCGTATGCCAACACCCCGCAGTAAAGCCTGGGCTCTTGAGATTGGGTTGGACCGCTTCGATGCAAGATGTAGCATCATCTCTGGGCATTCGCCTGGTACCTCATCTGCCGTTTTTTTTTTTTTTTTTTTTTTTTTTTTTTTTTTTTTTTTTTCCCCCCCTCTCCGCCCGGGGGTGGTAAAAGGGGGGAATGTGTTTTCTGTTTTTTTTTTTTCTTTTTTTTCCTTTTTCTTTTCTCTCCCTCTTTCCCTTTTCTTTTTTTTTTTTTTTTTTTTTTTTTTTTTTTTTTTTTTTCACTTGCCACGAGCCTCCGCGTGTGTGAAAGGGCAGGTAAGGGTTTCACTCTTTCGATCTCATTGCGCGAACTTTCTCTTGTCTGGCATCTTTGGTCAACTCTGCTTCCTTCTCTATATTCAACTCGGCCTTAAACTCTCTTTCGCATATGATAAGACCGGGTATTAGCTAATAGCAAAGTACCTTACCTTAACTAGCATCCTTGGGCGAAGCCAGAGACACGGCTTCGCTAGCATCACCCGCTTGCGCAGGAACATGGAGAACTGGAGGAGGTCAGCTAACGGGATACGTCCAAGCTCAGTCCCAGTGGACATTGATTCAAGCCCCTCATCAAGCACAGCCGGCAATATGTATCATCATGTAAACTAAGGGAAGCCGGTTGCGGAAAGCTTACCGATGTACCATAGCGAAGTGAAGCCAATCGTTATCAAAACGCGAGTTTGTGTTCAATGGCTAGTACAATAAGAGGCTGTTTTCTCCGGCACCAATGCGTCATAAACGATATGTTATGCTCAGATTCGGCAAGAACAGGTGTTATGTACCCCAAATTTTGTCTATGTCCACTTCAGAAATCCTCTCACGAGGTGCGCGCAAGTGCTCATCGTACGTGAGTACAGGACCCATGCATTTTCGATAAGCTTCCAAGTCCACGACCGACCATACACTCGAAATCTTCCCATCCTCGAGCTGATAAATGACAAACTCCTCGAAGAAGACGCCTTCGCCATTAGGCTTCGCGCCTCCCCATTCCTTGACGGGGGTCCCCGTGAACTCGATTCTCGCCGCGATCTGCTGCGTCTCTTCAACCGCGATGACAGGGTAGGCACAGAATTCGAGGCCCTCAATCGCATCTTGGCTCTCGCTGATCAGAGGTATGTACTCGGCGATCGAGAGCTTGCGACCATTGTGCAAAAGCTCCGGCTGGCAAAATTGGTCAAAGTCCCGTTCCATTGTCTTTTCATTGATACAGTCAATGTATCTTTTATAGAATTCCTTCAGCTTCTCCGCCGTCATAGGGGCCACTGCCGAGGCTTTTGGTGGAGGTAGCGAAGCAGGGACTGTTGAATATTGGCGATTGGACATTGCGTCCACGTCCCGTAACGACCGCCAACCTTTAACACCGTCATCCCGTATGAAACTAGCAAGGACGATTTCCTGGAACTCAAAGACCTCGTTGGAGTCCTTGAGCGTCGTTCTGTTGATGAGACGGGCGAAGAAGTCGTTATCGTTACTGAGCAGAAGCATATCGATCTTCACCACATTGGCGCTATTTGGTCCAAAGGGTTCATTGAGGCGCCTTACGAAATTTGGTTTCCAGTCACCATCTCGTGAGCCAGAAGGCATACCTGTCGTGTCGATGAGCCACCCCAAACCGGTGAAGTCTTTGCCGTCGTTGCATATTGCGATGACATCACGGAAAGTCTTCTCGCGCGTTTGCTTTTCCGTCAGCCATGGCTCGTGATACTCCATTTCTGAGCAAAGACCTGGGAAGCTGAAGGTTGTGTTTTGGTATCGTGTTGAGGAGAAGTTGCTTCTTATTTCATGAGATCGACAACGCGCCGTTTGACAAACATGGTGATTACCTAAGGAGCGGTTTTCTTACTTGACTGCGGGGTTGATGCCGAAAATGACGGAAAGCACTTCCGTCGGCGGCGGTCGGATGATCGTCGCCCTCAACCCGGGGAAAGCTCTTGATTGCCCCTTCACCTATCCCTTGACAGCCGGTTCTTGTCTTACAACTTCAGATTCTTGTCACTGCTTCGCGGCGGAAGAGTCATATGGCCCATTCCACGGTTTCTCAGATTTGAGATGGTTTGCTACAGGCGGTTAATAACTGGATGAACATACGTCATAGATTGAAAACGAAATCCTGGTATTCTAATAGACAGGGCATGCAATGATGAAGGGTATATGTTGAATGCAAAGGCAGTTCTCTCCCAGCTTCATCCGTCATCAAGATTAAGAACCCTCAGTGCCCTCAATGTGAGTATACCAAGTCCACAACGCAGTCGCGACCGTAACAATCTCCCACTTCTCCCCCAACATCCCCGTCAATCCCGAGCCAGCAAACGAGAACTTTAGCCCCTTTGTCAAACTCTTGTAATTCGTCGCCAGAATAGCAACAATCTCATGCCCATCGCTCGTATATCCAGCTTCCCTCTCCCGCCTACTCCCTCCGGCGCCCTCGGCAACTTCATTCAACCTAACCAACTTCCACCCATACGTGCCCCCGTGAGCAAGCTCAGAGACCTCCCCGCCACGACTGCCCCTCCACTGAAACCTCTCCGTCCTAGCCTCCGTCCCGGTATCTTTCCCCCCGACGGTCATCGAAAACACGCGGGCGGAACTCTGATCCAAGCCCCACGGCACCCCGGTAATCTCCGTCTCAAACCCGCTCGTCTCGCCGCGTTCTTCCTGGGGCGGGATTACGATGGTCGCAGGCGTCTGAGCCTTTGCGGCCCACCACTTGCCGATCGTCGCGAGGACGGGGTGCTTGTCCGTAGGCCCATCATGGAGGATGATTTCTCGTCTCTTGGTGCGCCAGCCCGCGTGCGGCGAGGCGGCGAAGAGCCTCTCCTCGTTGGAGGGGCCGAGGATAAAGGTTCTTGTGAAGGCCCATTGGAAGTAGCAGTTTACCGTGGGCGGGAACTTGTGTGTCGCGGCTGTGAGAGTTGTGGAGGATGAGTGCCCGGCTTCGGCGTGGAGGTCGTCTGATAGTTTGCCATATTCTGGTAGGTCATCTTGGGCGGCGCTCGGCACGGCTTCTTCGTAGGATGGAGGAGGTGCTCCTAGGCTAGTATCTTCGGCGGAAGAGCTCACCGGTTCCTTTTGCTTTTCCGAAGGGTAAGACATTGTTTGATCTGGAACATTGAAATGAGTTCTAGAGAGAGTAACTCGACATGATCATCGATGTGCAGACTAGGATGTCTTTGTAGCCCCATTCTCGTCGTAGGTAGCGAGCACAGCGTGCAGAAACTCTGATACCAAAGTCCCAAATAGCGGATCCTCTGCTCGATTGCATCACCAACCGTGGCTGTGGACATGAGAAGCCTATCATGATCATCACCGACAGCTCCGTAAGCGGCGCATATTACTACTAAGCCACAAATATACTGTCTCTTTACGGCAAGGGAGCCCACCGAAGCTGACAGCCGGAATCCACACGGCATGGGCAGCGCCGAAAAACCGGGTCGGGTCTGCCGATAATAAAGCGGGGCCGATGATTGTAGAAATCCGAGAGCGTAATAAACTGCCTAGAACTATCGCAAAGTATGGTTGATATCCATAAAACCGGCCACTTTTCGTCGTCAACCCGGTCGTGGCCGATTTCAGTCTCATTTTGTTGCAGCCTGACATACGATCCTCAATTAGATGCAGGGTATTGGCTTGGCAGCTGAGCCGTGCCGCCGATTTACGCCCCCTGGTCTTTGAACAGTTTCGAGGCCCCGAAAATACCTCGAACACCATCCAGGGCCTGACGGATAGCCTGGTGATCTGGTTGTGGTTCTTACTCAGAACATCCCGGTTGACAGCTCAAACATCCAGGACATGGCGTCGGGAGTTGACTACTCCTTCACGGTAGTGTCCATCAACCATCCTACTTGAAGGAGACTGAGTAATTGGACTGACGGAGTTCCCTCGTCCATAATCTTCTTTGAACATGAGCTGCCCACATTCCGCCCACATAATGAAGATCTCCCGCGCTGCTCCGAGCCCATCATCCAGGCACAGACTCATAGTCACATCCAACTCTGCTTAATCTTGTCCTGCTTGTGTGTCATTCAACTGGTTCTCATTGGAGTTTCCAGCGAATGACCTTTCCCCAGAGAGGCCCCAGACACCCCCGTTCGTCGACAACACACGCGCGATGCACCCTCTTGGCTCTAGTCCAGGCACAAGAACATGACGCTAAAAGCTGACCAGCGTGGCAGCGCAGCCAAACACCCCAACGAACGCGCCGCCTTTCCCTCTTTGACCATCTCTCAGCCCTTCCAGTTTAATTGCACCTGTCCACGCAGCGTCCTAAGCTTCCTTTCATCACCCTTTCACCACGTTTTCGCACGATCCTGCAAAGTCGCAAAGAGTCGAACGCCACCCCCGAATTGGTTGCTTTCTGATATCTCAGCTCCTTCAAGCCTAATTTCAACCGGGGAAAGAGCTGAGAAGCTTAAAGAGTTGTCAAGACTCAAACGGCGTGTTTGATTGTTCGAAAAATGGTGCCAGGGTCGCGTTGAACGACGCCACGAAATGGTCCGCCAGCAAAGGGCCAGCGATCCTATTGCCATGCTGCATTGCGACCCTGTCCCGTTGCTTCAACCCAGGGGTCCAGGCCCGCGTCGCCGCTTCGATGCGGGATGCGGGATTGCAAATTGGGAAGGTCGAAAGGAGGAAGAAGATTTAGCTAGTTACCCTTCAAAATGTCATCTGCATCCTGTCCCACGCTCGGGAGTTTCTGTCAGACCTTCTTTTGTTTCTTTCATCTATTGATCCCTTGATTTCACAAACATTCTCGTCCTGGCAACGACGATTGTATGTGTCGTTTGCCAGTTGTGCCGGGCATGCAGCAGATGATTATAATTGCGCCGCCATCGCCTCTTCTCTGACAAATCACCATTCAGATTCTTAGTCTCTAATCTTGTTCTTGAAGACTCCGGATTTTAATTCCTCTCAAGCAAATACGCGAGCCGTTCCCGACGATGAAGCCATCTACAAACGCCCTGTGGGCTACCGTCGCATTGGTGGTATCAGGCATATCCACAGTCGCAGCCCAGACTTTAGAAGAAGCACTCAGCAAGCAAGCGAATCTGACAACGTTCCGCGAACTGGTCAAGGTAAAGAGAATAGCGACTCATGACTACACGCTCAGATCTCCAACGCACCTTCATCTGCGGGCCCAGGTCCGAGACATATGTCTCTTGCGCATTGCATGCACAACAAGCAACTAACGATCGGACCTCGGTGCCTTGGCGAGCTTGCGATGTGGACTCAATACTTGGTTGAACCTCCTCCATATCCAGTGTAATTGTAGCTGACAACTTCCACTGCAGGATAACGCAGACATCTTCTCAAATTTGCCCAAATCCGGCGTCACGGTAAGGCTCACCCTATTTTCGCTCCCGTGCCCCATTTTCAGACCAGTCAAGGAAAAGACATTTGATGCATACCATCCATCTGGATCATAACCCTTCGGCAACAGCCCAGCGCATAGACGTCAAAAAGCCCTGACTATAATGCGTAACGTAGTTACTGACCATGTTACCAACGCTAGATCCTCGCCCCCAGCGACGCAGCATACCTCAAAGGCCAAGGCTGGGACTCAAACAAGGACGCCATCGCCATCGCCCTCCAATACGGCATCCTCGGTTCCAAAGTCGCCTTCAACGCCTTCTCACCAGGCGACTCAAGCATCATCTCCACCCTGCTCACCGACGCGCGCTACTCCAACGTGACGGGCGGCCAAACCGTCCTCGTCACAAAACAGCCTAACAACGATGTGGTCATCACATCGGGCGTCGCATCCCGCACCACGGTCCTCGAGACGGACGTCGCCTTTGACGGCGGGCTGATCCAGATCATCGACAGCCTCATGGTCACGCCTGCACGACTCGAGACCACCGCCCGCGACGCCTATCAGGATCTGACGGCGTTTCTCGGCGCGCTGTACACGGCCGACCTTGTGCCCGAATTTGCTGAGATGCCTAATGTCACCATCTTCGCGCCGAGGAACGCTGCCTTCCAGCAGGTTGCGGGAACGCTCTCCGGTATGAGCAAAGATGCGCTGCGCCGGGTGTTGCAGTACCACTTGGTACCCTCACGGGTAGTGCAGGCGTCTTCCCTAAAGAACGGGACCGAGTTCGCGACCGCCGCTACTGGGAACAAGAGTTTGGACATTACCTTGTTCAACAACGACATCTTTGTCAACTCGGCACGGCTGATCCAGACGAATATTCTGATTGCCAACGGCGTAGTGCAGATGATCGACGCAGTTCTCAACGTCGACGCACCCAACGCCGCCCCGAACGTGACGGCCGTTTCGCAGTCGCCGGTCTTCACGGTCACAGGAACGGTAGAGACGGGCACCGCGGCGCCTACGCCGTTCGTTTCTGCGTTGCCTTGTACGGCGAGCTGTCGCGTCACCGGCGGCGGAGGCGGCAGCGGGGCCGGAGGGACGGCCACGGGAGGGGTAGCGTTACCCAGCTCAAGCACCGGAGGCGTCGCCGCGGCGCGGTGCACTGGTCCAGGACTAGTGGGCGTTGCCGCTGCGGGGGCTGGATTGAGTTTGGCCATGGGGGTATTGGGAATGGAGGCCTTGGGTGTCATCGTCTGAGGCGGATTGGCTATGGAAGAAGAGTGAGGCATGATGGACGCATTGCATGGATGGACAGGGAAGGGATAAGGTACGGCCGACGTCAAAACGGACGGTAAGATAGTTCGGGCGAGGGGGACTCGGCAAGAGGAGGAGCAGAGAGGAGGAGGGAGTTTACTCGCGTGTTTTACCGTCCGTGGAAGAGACGGCTGGGGCGGTGTTTGGACTTTGGGACTCTGGACAGAGTAGCGGATGCTGAGATACCCGTGCTTGATTTGAGTGAGGGAGCGAGCGGTCGGGCGGCTTGCCCAGCTCGTTTGCTTATTATTTGGCTGTTTACCTTTCTCGCTAACGAGTTGTTTATCGTTTTCGTACCTAGACATGAGGTGTCGAATTGGCTTTTGATTATCCGCCTTATACGGTTTCCATACCATCGCGGGGTCATAGGATTTGCGTGAAAACAGTGAAGCTTCGATCGACAAACATCCCGCTTGGCATAGTTGATCGGTTCCCCGGTCGCTACCTTATCATACGATGCACCTAGAGTTTCGCCAGTTTATCCTTTTTCAATGAAGCTTCGGTCGGGGTGGGAGGGGGCTTGTTGATCAACAAAAAGGAGTCAAGTGAATAAGGCTTTTTCCGCTGTGGCGGGGTAGAAGCGTTCCAAACGAAGCGGAAAATCGTAAAACCATCGTGACCAGATTCGGACTCAAGGGGCATGGCCTTTCGACGAATGTCTTGTGTAAGAACTGCCCGCTTCAGCTTGACTTGGAGCTCTTATCCGTGCGCGCTGCTACGGCTTCTTCACAGGCTTCTGCGCAGAAGAAGAGAGCCCACGGCGTAAGTGGGTGCACAATGGACCGGACGGGCCATTTCAAATGAGATCTAGCCGTGGGGGATGATCCCCTGACTCTGTTTTGATCCACGGAGCAAAGGTGAGTTTAAAGGTGTTTAGGGCTGTTTACTGGCTTGGAGGACCCGTGGGGTTTGACCCGAGCTAGTGCCGGGCGTCACCGAGACAGATGGGTCATGGTCCATGGTTCAGGAGAAGCACGCGAGTCGGGTTCCTTGCCCGTATGCAACACAAGATCTGGCTCTGCCCAGAGTCAGTGGTTTTGTGGGTGGTGTAGTGGTGGGGGTTGAGCGTTACTGGTGCGGAATGCGTTTCCTCCGGCGGGATCTGCTACAGCAGGGTAGTGGCTGCCAAGAACATCGCCAAGGGTGAGGCGACGAGAAGCTTCACGTATGGCGGGGGATGTAAGCGGCCGGATTGGTACGGATGTGATGTGAGTATCTCAGGGCAGTGACAATGAGGCTCTGGCGAGATGAAGGAGGGTGGGATGAGGGGGGGAAACACGGGAAGAATGGAAGAGACGGAGGAAAAGCACGGAAAAGAGGCCACAGCACAAAACACAGTTGATCTACTTAGTCTTTAAGCCTCGTACGCCCAGCCCGGTAGATAGCCGGCGCGAGTATCACTCATCGATATCTTGTATCGTGTGTGTTGTCGAGGATGGCCTGTCTTCAAACTTCAGACAGAGACTGAATTCTCCCGATTTGCACCGAAACAATAACCCAATCAACCGCCAAGCAACAGGATGAGGCCCTTTCCTTACCCTTTGAAATGTCGCCGCACTCTGCCTGTCTAGCCTCGGGAGGGGGCTGCCCTAAGCCTCTTCTGTATTTACCTTGGTGCACAGATCTGGCCTATTCCCAAGTAGTAAGAGGGTCGTAGAGGGGGGTGCCCTTGCATGATGTCCGAGTTTAAATCTTGCAGCGTCCGGCACCCAGGATGCGCGGATGCTTATCTGAAGATGTGAGGGTTGTCGTGTTTCATGATGGCTTCATGATTTGGGAGCACAAACTTGGGACGTGTGTGGGCATGGGGGGTAACAGCGCGCCGCAAGAGACACAGAACGCCCGCCGCCAAGGGAATAACGAGAGCGAATGAGCGGGACCCGGCCTATTTCGTGAGTTACCTTTCGACCACAGAAACTGGCCCCAGAGGGCAAAGGAGGGAAGAGGACAATGCAACTCTTAAAACCCCATATGCTCGTCGATCCCGCCGGTCGTGGTCGTTCTTGAGTCTCCTTTCTCAGGCTTCGGCGAATTGCTTCCAGCCCCATTATTTCCCTTCCTTTCAGTGCCCGTCTCGGTCTCGAGACTTTGAGCTGGCCTCGCCGATAGCTGTGCTATCTGTTTCTTTTCTATTCTTTGAGGAGGTGTGACAGTTCGAAGGAGACGCGGAAGTTTGCGCAGAGAAGAGAACGGGAAACAAGAGACCTCGCGAGCAGACGATCAAGATGAGATTCACGTGGTGGACTTTGGCCTCGGCCGCCGTTGTGTTGGCGGCGCCGGCTCCCCAGGCTCCGGGACAAACGCCAACTCCCACGAGCAGCGGAACGCCGACAACGCCCAGCGCTCCCAACGGAACGGTTCCTGGCGGCAATGCTGAGGCATGTGCTCAGATTCAGCCCAAGGTCCAACAATTTCTCATGGCGAGCCCGAAAGGTACGTTGTTGTAAGAGCATGCCAGCTACCTATGTGGGGGGAGGAAGATTGCAACTATTACGGCGGGGAACGCTAGAGATTCCCCAAGATCCTCTACAAAAGCGTTGGACGTCATGGTGTAAAGCAATCACAAAAGCATATTCGCTAACAAAGTTTGCCCCATTCAATAGCAACACCCCAAGTGCCAGCTCAGTTGGCCTTTGACTGCCTCCAGACGGTGCCAAACAAGAAGGGCCCGGCCAAGGACCTGGTCAAGAGTTTGAAAGCCTACGTGCAATGGCAATCCACGCTGTCATGGCTCAAGAACCCGCCGGCGTCGTATATGTTACCGCCTACCGATATCGAGGGCGGCCTGGATGAGATTGAGAAGAAGGCGGAGGCCGGCTCGTACAAGAGCGAATACGAGTTCCAGCTTGCCATTTTCCAGCTGATTGCTTCGGCTCACGATGGTCACTTTGCCTTCCGTGGTGATGTGTTCAAGGGCTTCAGCTTCCGCAACAACCTCGCTGCCGATATTGTGTCGGTCTCGCGCGATGGTATTGAAGTGCCTAAGCTGTACCATCTTGGTAAGTAGTCCCAACGCTAGCCCTTCGATCAATATGATTGATCAAGCACTGATTTTCCACAATAGCCCAGCTTGATGGCAACTCCACCGCCCCCGCCATCGTTAGGATCAACGGCAGAGATGCTGCCACCATGATCGCAGACCTGAACCTGAAGTTCAGCGGTTACCAGGACCCCGACTCTCAATGGAACGCCAACTTCAAGTCGTACGCGTCGAAGGAGAGCTTCATCGTCGTCGCCGCCTCCCTCGCTTTCCAGGGCCCCAAGGTGACAATCACCTACGACAACGGCGAGGAGCGCTCCGAGGACAGCTTCGCTCTCATCCGCACCGGCGCAAACTTCACTGGCGTCAACAGCGGCGAAGACTACTACAACAAGTTCTGCAACCCCGACTCGCCCGCCAAGCCCCAACCGTCGCAGCCTGGCATGAAGCCTAACCAAACGACGCCGACCCCGCCAAAGACTTCAGGCCCGCCGCCCCCTCCTAAGCCGACAATCGAGGGATACCCCTTCCCGATTGTCCGTGATAGCGGTGCCAACACCACGTCCGGTTACTTCCTCAATGGGACGGGATACGATGATGTTGCCGTGCTCGCTGTTTCGTCTTTCGCTCCTCCCGACTCCATTGACGCTACTGAGTACTTGACCAACTTCCAGAGCACCGTCGCCACGTTCTTAAAGAAGAGCAAGGACGCCGGGAAGAAGCGTCTCGTTATTGATGTCGCTGCCAACGGCGGTGGTTTCGTTGTTGCTGGTTACGAGCTCTTCGCTCAGGTTTGTCCACCTGTCCCCCTATCACTTTTCCCTCGCTAACCCTCATGATAGCTGTTCCCCGAGGTCAATCGCTTCCAGGCCAACAACTTGCGTCTGTCCGAAGGTCTCACTACTCTTGCTCGTCTCTCCGCTGCCATCCCTGCCAACTTCACGCCTAGCACGCCCGAGGAAAAGGATGCCCTTGAGGCCCTAGGTGGCAGCTCCATCGTCAGCAACCTGCTCCCTGGAGGCGTCTACACGCCCGATGAAGCCGCCTTCACGACCGTTGACCAGATCTTGGCACCGGTCTCGCTCAACGGTGACACCTTCACTGCATACCAGCAGGCACCACTCAACCAGACCGACCCCACATTCAACCTCACCGGCGTCGGCAGCAAAGCTAACCCGCCCCCTCGCGTCTTCGACCCTGAGAACGTGGTCCTCTTCACTGACGGTACCTGCGGCTCAACCTGCACGATCTTCTCCTATCTTATGATCCTCCAAATGGGCATCAAGACCACCGTCATTGGCGGCCGCCCCCAATCTGGTATCATGCAGTCCATCGCTGGTGTCGAAGGCGCCCAGGTCTTCGCCTTCAACGACATGACCACCGACGCCAAGGCCATCATCGCCCTCACCCCCAAGGACAAGAAGGAAGAAATCATGAACGGCGAACTCGGCGAGCTGGCGAAGGGCTACGCCATCAAGCGCGCGACCACGCCCAAGAGCGCCGGTGCCATCAACGCAAAGAACGCCTACAGTATGTCCGACGCCAGGACGCCGCTGCAATTCCTCTGGGAGCCGGCCAACTGCCGCATCTTCTACAGCCGCGAGATGCTCTTCAAGCCCGATAACGCGTGGAAGCGCGTCGTCGACGCCACATGGAGCAACCCCACGCAGTTCTGCGTTGCGGGCTCTCAGGTGCCTGTCACGAAGAATGCTACAATGGATCCCCTGTTCAGACAGAGCCAGAACAACACCGGCTTGCCTGGTGCTGGCAAGAGTGCCGCAGCTGAGAGTATCTCCGGTGCTGGACTCAGACTCGCGGTTCTCATCGCGACGTTCACGGTGGCGATTTTGGCCATGTAGAATTTTTGACGTTTTCTTTCATATTTCAATCATCGACTGCGATGGCACTCGGATGGCTTAGAGACCTGATAACAGGACCGTTTCAACGGCTGAACTCTCCCCCTTCGGTTCTATGACACTTCCATGACAGAGTTTGGGGGGCCATTATTTGGGATCACAGCAACGGGATTATCCGACATGATGTCGGGTAACCGCATGTTCGGCACCAGGATCCCTGAATTGTCGTAGAGTTGAGACGAGAGGGGGGAAGGTAGAGCCTGCTTCAATAAGCGCTGGGCCTATCTGCTTCTGGAAATGATTCAGTAAAGTCTATTTGGAGTTTGGTTGGGCAGCGGCGCATGGATTGGCCACATAGACTCACATCTTCCGGGATTGGAGGGGGATGATGGCATCGGGGTCGACAAACAGAAGAAAATTTTCTTTTCAGTCAACAGCTATCTCATCCCGTCTCTGTACGTGAATAATTCATGCAGTCCAACGTTGAATACTTAGTCTTAGTCTCGAATAATAGCCATCAAATGTACGCACTCCCAATTGTTGCCAAAAGCCTGCTGGCCGGCGAGTCCTAAGTCACAACAGCCACCAGGACACGAATACATGATACTAGGATAACGATGCTAATGATCGGTGCATACTTCTGATCAAGAACTTCTTCAAATCTGATTTGCAAATGGCAGATTACTGGGATATAGATCACGGCACAACATGCCGGGGAAACAATTGTCGGATCTACATGGTATCTTCGACCAGCAGTGATCGGCTCATAAAGTGGTCATGTGGAGTTGCCGCCAAACTTTCCACGGAGTCCGGGACTCGGGTTCTCTCCAGAAGCTGGAGCAAAGTTTCTTTCCCCCAAAACTTCGTGAGAGACGAAGCACGTGTTCCAGGTCACATCGGGTCTATAATCCGTGGAAGCTTTCTTGCCATGAGACCTTGAGGTTTCATCACATGCACCTCGTACTTGATAGGCTACGGATTCTTGCTTATTATCAAGCTTAAGTAACCACGATTGGACTACGAATTTGTCATGAACTCATATATTTGACCATGTCAACAGCAGTCGTCAGGGTTCCTTGTCACACTTTTCCGTCTTTGCAAGTCATAGCCGATACTTTAGCCTCATTCTGGTCTTGCGGGCGATATGGCGCGCCCTGGTCAGTCTGTAATTACCAGGTTCATTGTGTTTACTCATATCCAATTTAACATTACATCTGATACATTAGGCTGAGCCATCGCCAATTATCAACCCTATAACCCATCCGGAAACAACGAAGACAGAAGAAACGCAACGATCAACTAGGTAATTATCCTTAGCATCTCGTCACTCCTCCAAAAGTCCAGCTCACAAAGAAGACGTAAACGCGGCAAGACTCAAAGCCCACGCACATCCGTACATCAAGAAGCGGATCTTGTGCAGCCGATCCCACTTCTCAATCAGCCACCCGACCTTTTTCCTGTCCAGCTCCGATAGAGCCACCTTGTCATCCAGGGCGATGAGGCTGTTGTTAGTGGGCATGATGACGACGAGCGTGTACGGCAGGATGCAGATGCTGCAAAGCGCCGACATGACGGCGAGCCTGCGGGATACGGGCGATTCGCCCAGTGCGAAGGCGGCCAGGTGAAGCGTCGCTGTCACGCCGGTGCCGCCGATGATGTATCTCTGGTGCACGGCGTCAGCACTCATCACTCCTCTTATGACGGCGAATATTCATCTCGCTGATGATGAGGAAGGGTTTCACTCACAGAGGCTTCGTCGAAGAAGAGTCTCCATACTTTGATCTTCTGCTTTGAACTCAGAGTGCACGCGCCAAGTTGATCTCTGATGATAGGAAGAGGCCCAGTGAGAGACAGCCCGATGTTTCCAAAGAAGAGTGATGATGTGACGAGGAGTCCGCTGCCGAGAGCGTACGTCGCTGGCGACGCCTTTCCGAAGGCTGCGAGATAAGCTGATACGGACATCTTGCCTCCGTACTGGACTGTAGACTAGTATACAATAGGGTCGACTCTTCGATTTTGATATTCCGGGGAAGCTCTGCTCGAGTCGTGTTCGCTCGCCGATGGGATGTTGTTTGTTGTTTGAGTGCACAGACTATGAGATCATTACGAGTTGAAGTGAAAGGGAGGCTCTGTGATTGTATTCATTCTTCTCCTCTCCTTCCTCGGATTCCCCCCCTTGGGAGCCGGTAGCTCAATCCCTTGGGGCGGGATTGGCGCTTATCCCGACGTGGGCTAGACGCTGACAGTGTCTTGTAGCCTCAACACAAGTTTAGGCGCACCGCCTAGACGGGCTGGACCTTCTCACTAACTGCGTACGGTCTTAGTCGAGCGCCACAGTGCCTTAGTATGCCAGCTTGGACCATGAGCGTTGGGGAGAAGATTGTCCAAGATGTCCGGAGTGAACGTTTCAGATCAAATGAAATGGTCTTCAAAGACGTGAGCCTTGACTGTGGTGATGAGTCCCGGGCTGTTAAGCTTCAACACCGCATGCTTGGCATCGTGGCTCGTCGACGAGGCGATGCTGCCTACAGGCTCATGAACTTCTGCGCGAAAGTCAATGAATGCTTGAAGTATGTGTCTACTTTACTCACCTACGGACCCGTCCCGTATGCTTAGGCGGCTGTGGACAATCTTGCACGTTTCCAAGGCCCAAAAGACCGAACAGAGTCTTGATCCTCAAACCGAGACCCGATATCGAAGATATAGGCTTCCCAAACTTCATGTTGCAAGACTTCCCACCTTCAAATCCAGGATTTCCTTCTCAGCATTTTCCGATGTACATCAGCAGGCGACATCAGCATAATTCGCTGGGTCGCAAGAGAATGCCGAAGCTAGCATGAAAAAGCCTAGGTGCGCAAGAGGGTATCAGAACTCGAGGAACCCAAGATCTAATGATAGAAACAAAAAGGCGCAGCTCTATTTTATGCCCACATGTACTACAGACTCGATCTAATCATGTTACAAAATACTAAGGCTATACGACCTCGGAGCTGAGTACTACTTTCGCCTGATTTCGTCAGCATGTCCTCAGAGATTTGTTTTACATCGAAGACGCTCTAAACCCTTTCCCTCAATCCCGGTGATTCGAAGCTCTGTCATCTAAATAGTCCAGTTCCCGCAACGGAATGCTTTCCTCGTTGCCGATCTTCTTATACCCCTCCTTCCGCGCCCTAGCCCACTTCAAAGAGCGTCTCGTCCCAAGAACAATACACACCAGCAACCCGATGAAGGCGATGCCAGAAACCCAGGCTCTCCATCCCCTAAAACAGCAGGGATACAGCGACATGTATATGCCAACTCCCCACTGCAAAAGATTCTTTCTTTCAGGGTGGTCGGGAAAGAGTCCCTTCCTTACAAGCTGCTTCGTAGTCGGGCCCGTCGGGCCGGAGACGTAACGCTTCAGACCAAAGTAGGGTACGATCTTCTGACGTGGATGGTCGTCGGGGTATTGAAAGTCTCCCCATATACCGGAATAGTACAAAAAGGATGTAAGATTCGTAGAAGCTTCCGCCCCGGGTGGAAATATGCTCGTTAAGAGTGATGTTTCGGGGTCGAATTTGTAGTAATATGCCGAAGATACCGGGTCCCAGATTTGACCTGCGTCACAGTAGTCTAACAAGACCGAGTCGTGAACGTGATCGCTAGTCGAATGCTGTCATTACACAATGTCGGTAGATGGGACAGTATGGTTTATTACTCACCCAGGAGATGCCCAGTTTGCGTGAGAGCCCCATGCGCTGTAAACGATAGGCTAAGACAACGTTAGCTGCGTGATCGAAGTCGGTCAAAAGAATAGAGTCGTTTGATACTCGGCCATTTTCCACGGACAAACCCTTATCATTCCACTTGTAGGCAGAGCCTGAAGAGTGTTGACTGTAGTAGATACCGGTAGGTTTCCCGTCGTGAAATCGAATCATATTATGCTCCCTGTTCAACAAAGGGTCAGTGGATACAATCTCGTGGGTACGGGTCTGAACATGGAGCTGACCAGTCACCAACATGATCGCCAAAGTGCATCCCATGTTCAGTGTCTTCTATCAACCCATTCATAGGTGGTAGAACTTGAGTGATGTTTGCCCCTTGATCGTACGAGTAGAAGTAGAAGTAAAAGGCATCCAGATCGCCTGATCCCCTATCGACGGTGATGACAACACAGGAGGTAGCATTGTGGAGCTTCCCCGACTCATCTGGCGACTCTCCAAAGAGCCAGGTAGGAAGACTGGTGATGTCACCGTTTGCAGTTAGCGAAACTGGGCCTTTGTTCCAGTAGTTGTTTAGCATAGCCAAATTATCGAGATCGAGTTGCGGCAGTCCTCTGATGGGCTCCATGTGCACCATCGGCGTGGTATGGCGGACATGTTCGAGTATATCTGCTGGGCGGAATGGGTCGTCTGAGTGTAGCCATATCATTGGCGCTAGTATGATGATAGGTCAGTATTGGCATGATACCTTATTCTGCTAGTTGCAATCTCTGGGAATCTTTCGAGATCAGTGAGGGCAGTTGAGATGTTCTCTTACCGTGATTAATCACGAACTCTGGTACTGCTCTTCCGACATCGCGAGATGTGAATGAGGTGCCGTACTCATTGGCATCTTCTGTGATGGATAATGCAACGGAAAGAGAAACGCTTGATAGTAAAGCCAAGATACTTCGCCAGGGACATGTAAAAGGCCATGGGCGTGCCATGCCTACGGCAGACCTTATGCGCCTTGGGGTGCTGGCCGCACAGAACTTCCAAGTCGACCTTGGATGTGGAAAGGAATGTTCGGGTGTGTACTGACGGCGTGAAACTTCGGTCGTCGCTCAATAGCTACCGTTGCAGATAATGAGAGACTGCAGAGGAAACTTTTCAAATCCAGGAACGAGGCACTCCTTTCCGTCTGAGAGAAAACAAAGGCCAGACGGTCGAGTTTCCCGAAAATTCTTCGGCCCGTAGGGGCAGCTCACTGGTTTGGCAGCCTGATGCTGTGTAACCGCACGCATGAAGATGTTGATTAGGAAATACCGCCCTCCCCCCGTCTTTGAAAGCGCCCATTGGAGCACTGTGAACAATGCTCAGCTGCATGCTATCGGACAGGAACTGATTGGTTTAAATTGTCAAGCGTTTGGGTGGTGGACAGTTGGTTCGAGTCTGTACAACACTTGGCAGACCTGATGCGCGCGTCGGCGCCGCAGCTTATTGGTCAGGATTGCTCATTTCAGTGACAGACATCTGTTCAAGCTCTGTTCATTTCTGGCCTTTGTTGAAGTAAAGCGCGGATATCTGTTAGGGAAGATAAGTACCTTTGAAAGGAAGAAGATGAGGGGGGTCAAGTCAATGGTCAAATGTGTAGTTGCGAGAAACGAGACCCATGCGGCGCGACGAGAAACGAAGTGTATTCCTTTGTTGGAATTGTCTGCTGGATGCAGTCGCATCCACCTCACACCGGTTTCCCAGTTCAAAGCATGATTGGTAGCCTGCTTCTCACACCCACCTAAACACTCATGTAGCGACCAAGCCTTGGTGTGTTTTGAGTGGCTCCCTCTTCTCGTCCTTCGCCCCCTATTGACTTGGCTGGAAAATGTCACTGCGCAGTCCTATCTTACATGTCTGCGATTTGACAGCCAAGCGGTGTCACAGCAGACAATATTCCTCAGCCGCTTCGCTGTCCTACACATCCTCACTGGCACTTATCGGGCCCCCTTTCTCTGGAGCCAGACCGGGGGCAAAATTCACACTGTGATACACAACCAAAGCCATCGCCGCCATCTCGGTTTCGCTTATCCGGCACAGTTCTTGGTATTAGATAGCCTCGTCCCAGCGGTCGTTGCACTGTAGATCACTCTGTTTTAGATCCGGGCTTCGACGGATGTCCTCCTTGTTGCGCTCGCTCAACAGTGGGAATGGAACCGAACATCGAAGGCCACGCCAAGACGACTTCTTCCTTCTTGCCGTCTCTGCAATAGCGTAGCCAGACGCCGTAAGTCACGTTTATATAGCATGCAATACCGGTGAATAGGTGCCTAAGCCGGCTGTTAGCTTCTTTCTGGCACCGATGTTAGTTAAAGCTCACCACCATCCATGGCCCTCGAGGAGAACGCCCCAGGGGAGTCCGAGTTCTCGTCTCCAATGTCGAAGGTGCGAACAGAAAATGTTGTCAAGGTTCCAAGCCAGAAATCCAATGGCTATGGAAACAAGACCGCAAGTGATCAATGTCCACATTTTCTTGAGGAGTTGCGTGTCGAGAAGCTCAGCCTTGCTCTGAGGTGTAGATTTGGGCCGGAGTATCTTCTCCATGATGTACATGCTTCGAAACACAACAGTGGCTGTGAGTATCCCGAACATGACTTGATGGAAGACGGGATCTCCGAGGTAGTGGTAGTACACTGTGATGAAAATGGCCAAGCCAGTGATGAAGGTGCCCAGAAGAGCCTGGCCGAACAAGGATTTTCCGTGAGAAAATACCGCATAGAAGAGGATGCATGTGGTGTATATCATTGACAGCTCATCAAACAGCTGCATCCAGTCTTGCTCGAGGGTCAGCACTGTAGCACAGCATGGTCAAGGATTTCAGAGGCAACGAACACTTCAATGAGGTATGGTAGACCACGCTTGCGATACCGATGGTCATGTACCCGACATATGCCACCAGAAATACTCGAGGATGGTTGTTCCTGATACAGCTGAAAATTCCAACTAATGCCAGATAGACGAATATCGCATTTGTGAAAGTGTTGACAAACTCGGCCACGTACGGTGTGACATAGTAGTCCTGGAAAGAAAGGTCAGAATCAGTGAATTTCGAGCGGATGGTAGAAGTTTGGTAGATCTTCTCGGTATATTGCGCAACAAGCCTACCTCTTCGCACCAGTTGATGGTTGCTGTGACAGGATTCCAAAACCCGTCCCTGGAGGGTGGGTAGGATATGGACGGCAACGGAAAAGGCATTCCGGCTTGGTATGAGGTCGTAGAAACGAAGAGACCACGGTGACAAAAGTAAGCTGAACACCGTAGATGTTGCTGTGAGACTTGGATCGCCTTCTCCGAGGCCTACGTGTGAGCACGGCCGCGGCTCAAAGCTGCCCTTCAATTACGCTATTCTTCAGAAGTTGCCGGTGTCAAATCGTCTCTGTTGAAAGATTGCACGCCTTGAATATGGAGATTTCATAAACATCCCGGTGGCTTGTATCGAATTGTGCGAAAGGCGAAGTGAAGATTGCTGAGGGATTATTGGAAAGTTGCGAACGAGTGAAAAGTCTAAGTGCGTCTGGCTGGTTCCTTAAAAAGCGCGAGCCTGAAGCCACAGTATGGATATCCGGCAAGTTGCAGGGTAGCCGTTCGTACCGAGACCGAGCTGAGTAATCCATTGGATGTTAATCCGTAAAGGTCTCGGCAGGTGGAGTGGATGCTTGCCCCAGCTGAATTAAGACAGATTTATCTGCCCAAATGGTCCCGAAAACCCTCCCTTCGGAATGCACAACTTAATCCCACTGGAAGCTAGACAGCAGGGTCTCGGTCATAATTATATGCAGAAGTGCACTTGCAATGCCAATTGACATGCATATGTTCAATCAAGATGAGCTCTTACGATTCTACTCCGCCGAATACAGGACGAGTCAGTTTCGACTCTGCGTTTACATAATTACTTGGTCAACATATCTAACGACCCAGCCCTTGAGCTTGGGACTTTTTGCTATAAGTACTGCAGAATCCTAATCCCAGTCTCGCTCTCTCGCACACCATTTCAGAGGCTTACTACCGCCCTCGATGAGTTTTATCGGTTCTAATCACTCCAGTAATCGGTCGGGCTGAATGAGGCTTCGGTTGTGTAGCCTTCGCAACTCCGGGTACATGTCTTGGTACCACTGGATGATGGTAAAATGAGCATGCTCATTGGGAGGAACACTTGACTCTCGAATGTGAAGTCTCTTGCCTCCCAAGGCTGCTTACTTGTCGGAAGAATGCCGCTTTCTAACCCACCTCCTGGGTGCTTCCTGGAAAAGAAGGTGGCTCGAAGGATGTCATTCCTGTCCAGCTCTGTGTCCGGCGTTCTTTGTATGATCCATCAAGAGGCTGTTGCAAACCGGATTTGTCTGCCTGTCCGACATTGATGTTGTTAGGTTTTGCTTGCGAGGCCCAAGGCTGCAGTGCAGTATCTTATGTGATAAGTAAAAGCCCCGGTATGTCCTAGCTTTCATGAGTTTCGAAGCATTTCTTCTGTTGCTATCAGTTCCATGCCATAATTGTACAAGTTCTAGTCAGATATTCCACAATTCCTAATATCCGGCTCCATCGCAATTGCTGCATCACTTCTCTCGATGTTGAAGATATCTCGATTCTTTCTTTCCTTCGTTTTTGTTGCCCTTCTCAACTGGCCATGCCTCGCAGTATACGTTGCCAAAGACCAATTCAAAAACTGGTACCCTGAGTTCGGACCTACCTTCGAAGCTATCATGGAGGGCAACTGCTCCGCCGAGTACGAGAGATACTTGACGATTCCGAGAGAAAATGCCACCATCGACTGGTTTACGGGAGGCGGCAACACAAACAGGCTCGCTCAGCCCGTAGCAAATTGCATTCTGGGCAACACGTCCGAGTACATCATGAGCAACATGGCAGCTGCCGCAGTCGTCCTCGGCCTCATGCCAACAATTCTCGCCACGGTTGGAAACAGCGTGGAAGAGACCTCAACGCTCTGCGTTATTGGCCAAAGACCACTCATCGCCTTGCTCGTGGCCGCTGGATCGCCTGCCATCCATCCCGTCCGATCGTTCGAGTACATGAACCCGATGAAGTTGGTCAAGCCCCGGCACTACCGTTTACGCACCGCAAGATCATCCGTGCCGTTTAGGAGGGTTACTCTCGCTATCGAATTCCTTGCTGCCATTGCGGCCATCATCAATACGTATACACTGTGCAATCAGCTGGGCGTGATGGTCGTCAGTATGCTCGCCCCCCAGCTGACTTATTTGGAGTTCCTTTGGAGTATCATCGGTATCAGTTCCCATGTCTCCGCAGCTGCTAGCTTGTGGGCTCGAACACGGATCACCGAGGGTACTCGACGTGGGTACATCGGGGAAGTACTTTCGCGACAATTCAAACCTCTAGATAAGAAAGATTGGACTCGAGCAGTCATTGGCGAGGATGAAACATATTTTTCAATGTTTTTGTCGTATTTCACGTCTCTGCTAGGCACATGTCATCTTATTTACGGAAGTATGCTGTTTTCCAGTCTTGTTTTCATCTCCGCAACGGATAGCCTAAAAATCATGGCTCGCTACATGGCATCAGCGATGGTTAGCAGGTTCATTCTCATGTACGAGCTCTTTTGGCTACGAGATATCCTTGGCGAAAGGAGGGAGCTGTTTTTGAAGGCTGATTCCGCTCAGTCGAGCCAATCCACCGAGCTTTTGGAACGCGATGGCAAAATATGTTACAGAAGCGCAACTGATCCAGGGATGCTTGAAGATTGATATTAGCAGTGACTTCGAGATTTCCAAGTAGATAGGTATACATGTGAATTATGTCCCTTCTGAATGCCGTACGTTGGTGTCGAGTACGGTGGTCCACCTTAAGAGTAGAAGCCTGTACTTTGAGTACACTGTTCTAGTCAGGACTACAATGACTTCGCCCAGTCGCGTGATCCGTGTAAATTCAGTTCGTGAAGCTACCACTATCTTTGTAATGTTTCATTCTCGTGTTGCTGCTGAAGCTGAACCATCAGGTTGAGTCTTGGGCCTCGTTTCCACTTGCTTCCTTTTCCCCTCTTTGCCTCCGTCTCCGATTCTCAACGAGCTAAAACGCTCACTCAATCTCTGTCTCTGCTCCCTGGATAGCTCATTCTCAGGCTTAAAACTTGTTGTCTTCGTTTCCGAAACATTTGATTGCTTATCGCCACCGCTTCCTGCTTTCTTACCGGCATCTTCAGACATCAAACTCGATATGTTTTCCATTAGCTCAGCAACCAGCTTTTCTCTTTCCTCGATGGATCTATTAAATATAGAAGGCAGAGGGTCAGGGACAGGTTGCGGCTGTTTGCTAGGTTGACTACCAGGACTCGGTTCCTTTCCTGATAATGACGCGATGGATGATGGCAAATATGAGGTCTCTTGGGACAGCTTGTTGCTTTTCACGGTGCCTTCTTGAGGCCGCATCGTCTGTCTTGTTTCGTAACTTGGATTTCGTCTAGACATCATATATTCTGCTGCCGACAAGCTGTATGGTGCTCCTTCGAATGGCTCAGCCTCCGTATAATATCTCGTTCGATGCAGCGGATCAAAGGGATTCTGATCGGCATATCGAGGTGCTGCGACAAAGTTTGGTTGAACTTGCGACATTCCCGGTCTTTCAGTGCCTGGTGCTGGGGGTGCGAACCTCAGTTGGTCGAAGCGGTAGAGGGTTGTTGCTGCTTTGCTTTCATAGTAGTCCTTTTCTCGTTGATTCCTAGAAAGGGCTCTCAACACCATGGCTCGCGCATGTGACACTGGCCCTTCAGTGAAAATTTCGCCAGCGAGGAGAATTTCCCTCCGGATGGTTTCGCGGAATGTGGGTGTCGTGAGGGAGGCTGGTATGTAACTATATATGCGTGTTTCGAGGAAGCCCCCTGGCGATCCCAGTGAGTGCCATAAGTCACCTAGCTTATCTAGCAGGTGCTTTGGCTGAGGAGATTGATAAATGAGTAGTTCAAGGCAAATCACTTGCAGCGGAGCATCTCCCAGCTCTTCCGCAACCCCAAGGACAGTTCGAAGAGCTCCGTCGTGCCCCAGCGTAGTAGTTGGATCCGGTTGCCACTTGGGTGCTTCTTCATCAACCGGTGCGTATACAATCATGTAACTCGTGGGTAGCGTGATCTCAGGGTCATAATGACCCCCCGGTAGTTTGTCTAGATGAGACGCAAGGGCGAAATATCCGGTGATGTTTGGATCGACGTATTGCTCTAGCAAGACTTTCGCTATGATCCAACAAAGATAAGGTCGAGATTTCGTGTTTGTTGATTGCATCCCAGCAACCTCTAGGGCATGACTCTGGGAAACCTCAAAGATTGATTTGACCATATCAGTACTCGTATGCGTACTCATAGATGCTAGGGTTAATGTCGTGAAGATATCCAGTAAAGCAAAAGACGATTGTTCGTCTGGAGTGGCTGTCCCCCAGTCGTCTTCGATTCTTTCGATCATTCTAGCCAGACGCTCATCGGTTCCATCACAACTGTCTGCGAGTAGACTTCCAAGGGTCTGGCAAACGCAAGTGCGGTGAACATATAGGAGACTTTTCAGCAAGTCTCTGAAATCCCAAATCCTTCCCTCACCTTTGAGATGCAGGTATACTTCAGCCAGTGCAATAGGACCGCAAGTATTAGGGTCACTGCCTATACATAGCATCACCAGATCAAGCTTATTCAAATTAGCAGTTTATCAATCTCCGTTCCTCACACTCGCATCTGCTTACCTCCGTTGAGTCCAGCCTAGGCCAACGTTTCCATATTGTCTGCATAACGTCGAACACGTTCAACCTCTCTAGATGTTTCTTCTGGGTTAAGATGTTCCCACACATCTTTCCAGCTAGATCCAAGCGCATATCAATATTAGCTCGGAGGACCCCAGGGCGAAGTTCCGATATTAGCTTCTGGTCAATCTGGGAAAGGGCGTGAAAATCCCACATTGCCAAAAGACCTGCACAGTAATGGTCCAACACATATGGATTATCCATGAAATGCGATAGACGACGATCAAAGTGTCCCCGAGCAGCTTTAAGCCGTCCCAACCTCACAAGCCTTACAAATTGTTCCAAGTCTTCTTCCAGATCGTCAGTGGCGTTGTGCTCTGAATGGACTGTGATGTCTTGAAGAGACCGGGGATCAATCTGCATATGAATCCTGTGACTGGGCCTAGTAATGGCGGGGTGTCGGCTGGGTTCGATGGTCGACGGAGGCGGTGGAGGTGCTGGGGGTGTCGACTTCGTCATGGGGGGCAATGGCAGTTGTGCGGAAGCCGCATCGCTTGGATGTAGACTACCCAGGGACGGCTCCGATTGCGTCTCATCATCTGAGGAATCGGCAGATTCGTCGTAGTCTTCAACGAAAGCAACATAACCTGAGCTCTTTGGTTTTTGAGGCGGTTTTCTACCGCCTTTGGGCTCCTTGGGTGGTTCTTGTTGTGCGTTGCTTTCAAATCCAGGCAGTATATACCTGTTGGTTTGATTTTTGGGGCTTCGCTCGTAAACCTTCCAGGTTCTCTCTTCGTCCGTTATCGAATGACGCAGTGGTGATGATGGTATCCTGCTCGGAATATTCCGGGGCAGTCTTCTTCTAAGTGGATTGATATCTTGAGCGGCCAGCGCTTCTCTTTGTTTCTGGAGATACATGGAAGTTTTTCGCGGACTGTACGTCTCCTCATTCTCTTCTTCTTCGTGGTCGTAAAGCGTGGCTCCGCTCATGAAGGTGTGATGGGAGGCTCTACTCGCTTGTGACTTGGAAGAGTCCATGATGCTGGGAAATTGTTTGGAATTCTGCTCGGAAGCTTGGGATCTTGCGGCCTTGTCAGATCGATGCTACATGTAGCAGAAATCTGATGGTAATAATCCTGAGTACGGAGGCTTCATGCTTGACGAGGGTGCAACGGTGTTTCGAAAGAAAAGTCGTCATAACAGAATGGAGAAGAATTTTGGCGTCAAGTGTACGGTACTAGCCTGCGCCTCAAGCGTACATGACCAATGCTGCAGCTGATGGCCAAGCCACCCCAGAAGACAAAAGGGCCAATAGTATCGTGTTGAATTACCGGAGCTTGCTACCCCTCAGTTGACTGCTGTATGAGAAGATAACTCGGCGTTGTTCCTGTTCCATGATAGGTGCAGTCGGTATGCGCGCGATGTAAGCTGCAGCGTCGAGCATGCGCAGCAGGGAGCCCCCCCTCAACTTTGAGGTCTCTTGCCCAGCCAGTTCCTCTGACGTTGTCAGAGCCTTGTCAGACTTTCTAAGAACAACAATCTTTCGATTCAAATCTATATGCCGTGACCCTTCAATCATGACCGATACAGCGATTGAACATTTAGCAAACAGGAGCCCGCACTCATTTCGTCCCGGGCTACGTGTTCGCCGATTTGGCAGACAAGATTTCGAACGCTTCAATCAAGAGGCAGCTCGTGGGTCTCACCTATGCGTTGGATCTGGCACTATCGGAAAAGTCCAAGTCGAATGCAAATACCAGTGGAGGAAGGCGCAATGGGGTGTTCTTGGCCCCCGCCGACATCCTGCCGGTATAGTCTACATCGATATCGCAATCAAACAGCCCCCAGGACACACCCTCAGCAATGCCACTGTGCTTGTTACTTTGACGCAAACAGGTACAGTTGGATTCGACGCTGGAGGTAGTGGACGGACACAAAGACACGTTCGAACTTCACTCGAGTCAGACTATGCAGTTCAAGTGACAGAATTCTTTGGACCTCAGTCTCTCACAGGACCGAGAATTGTCACTTCCGAGATCAAGGAGAAGGCTTTCGAGCCCACGCTTGGAGCTGGGGGCTTCTTTGAACTGGGGGGGATGGGAGTTCGTCAGAGCAAGATGAGAGAGCTTGTCGACAGCTGGACCTTCAAGGGAACGGTAAAGCGGGCAAAGGGCGGAGAAGGATTCCGATCCCTCGAATGGGAGCTCAACGAAAGCGAAATAGACAACAATCCGTTTCGAAAACACAACTTCCACACAGCCTTTGCGTTCGAACACAGCGGCAGACCAATTGTCATGTGCGTCGAAGTCGAGGGTCGTCTCAAAAGCAAGGCGCGGCAGACCAAGCACCGGGTTCTGCGCTTCTGCTCGAGGTCAGGCGATACCGATAACTCAATGACAACCGAAATCGATCTATCTTCGGCAACATCAACCTTCAAGAAACGGCTCGACGGCATCGCACACGGTCTAAACATGGCAATGCAGAAGGAGAACCATGATGATACCCCGGTAGAGATGCCACCGCCTATGCCAGCAACCTTTGAAGAGGTATCTTCTTCGAAGGAGGTCTCTTTTGACGAAATCGAGGAGGTGGGAGACTCCGGGGTGGATGTCTTGTTGCAGTATCTCCACCAGCCTGCTACGGTAGCGATCGAGCGTCAATCATCGCCGGTAGAGAATGGAAGCGAGTTTTCCACGGGCGACGAGACGCTCGTCAATGACAACAGCGACCACAGCATCTCGGGCAAGTCTGTCCAATCTGTGGGCCGAGTGACTGCTCAGCACGTGTTAAAGGTGTCTGAAGTCGTGGCACTGGCCCTCTTCAATTGGGTCTTGATGATGGTCAAACTCGTGGGCTCGGGTCAGCAATCATGGACGACCACGAAACCGATTTTCATTCAGAAAGTAGTGACATCATCGGAATATCACCACAAAGCGCCGAGTCAGGAAAATTGGGACGACGAGGTTGATGCGCAGTACACAAAGCCCTCTCAGCATCTCTTGAGTGCAAAACCCGTTGCATCTATCAGCGATGGGCTCTCGCAGATGATGACCCCCCTTCTAAATGAAAAGAAGACACCAGAACGTATCCAAGTGCAGCGCAGGGGGAGTATTTGAAGTTTAAAATAGCTATCAGCCCTAAGTAATAAATACATAACGTATGCCATCACAACCAGACTGGAGGTGATTTCCGGACCGTGACGAGTTGGACTTTCGGAGGATGTGGGGTAGAGGACGGGCCGGCCCCGGGGCACTGCCGCTAGGACATCCGGGAGGCCAATGCAGTACCGAAGGTTATTTGCCTGGTGTTCACCATCTCCCCAGATATCCACGAAAGCGGTAAAAAAAAATGTTGTGTGAGCTCAAGCGCCGCAAGAAGAGGTCAAATTGACAAAAGATTTGGTACGTCAAGGACAGGATTCGAACCTGCGCGACCGAAGCCACTGCCTAATCAGGAATCAAGGTATGATAGCAGGGCAGCCCATTAACCACTCTGGCACCTTGACTAGTGACTGATTGTTGAGATTCCCAGGCGGTCAGCGGCTCATAATGCGCGTGACGACCCCGCTTCACCCCGCTGCACACACCCACAACTGCGGAGCCGCGGACACCACCTGGTCAACGGTTCGTGAGGGCTGGTGGAGTTGTGACTGACAGTGGAATTGACGAGATGCCGGTCAGTGTTGGCCAAGCCGCCAAGGTGTGTGCATTGAGGCAGGGTCCATCCGATCGTGGGTCATGTTGTGTTAAGGGGGGGCAAAAGTTCGTTGAGTTGTGCTTTACAGATACGTCACATTTCCGACAATACGCAACACTCTTGAAGGCGATAAAAGCTATCTAGTGTATTGATGCCAAAGTGCCAAGTTGGCTTGGTGAAGCTACCTATTCATACCGATCTTGACCGAACCCAAAACTCCGAGCTGCCCATATGATATTATCCTGAACCCATCTGAAGTCCCAAATTTTCCTAAGCTCCTACAGTATGGCTGAACACCTTGGCAGCCAACTGGGTAAGCAGCCTCGCGCGATCTGCCTGGGGGAGGTCCTGCATCATGTTAGTACAAATCCACCTTGCAAGACAATCTGGACAGAGAGGCTGACGGGATCTACCCGGTAGATATCTCCAGATTCGCACTGACCTGGAAAACGGCATAGACACTCTTGCCCTTCGCATCTCGAACAGAGCCAAGCCTGTTTCCAGCGACAGCACCCGCCAGCGCGCCAGGCATGTTTCCGACGATGAAGCCCAGCGCGCCACCACTAAGACCGCCTACCATGCTCCAGAACGAGCTCGTCGGGCGGTTGGTACCCTCCTCGGCCATGCCCTCCTCGCGCAACATCTCCTCAAAGACATCGCCGAACTGTGCGTTATCTGCCTGTGCGCGCTGACCCTCGTTTTGTTGACCTTGCTTCCCGCCGGTGAAGAAGTTCCATGCCCACGAGTAGGCGTTCTGCGGGTTGGGGCCGGCCTGCGGGGGTACTTCCTCTGGGTCGGAGTCGTCGTCGGAAAAGTCGCCGTATGTTGTACCGGCGGATGCGCCAAAGATCTTGCGCTGGGCGTCGTATTCTCGCCGTCTTTGGGTATCGGACAAGGTGTAGTATGCGTCGTTGACGAGCTGGAACTTGCGGGTGCGCGTTGCTCGCTCGGGCGAGTCGGCGGGGACCCTGTCTGGGTGTGTCTTTAAAGCGGCTCTGAAAAGTAAAGGTCAGTCTGAGGAAACTTGGGCTCAGTATCTTGTATCACTTACTTCTTGTATGCATCGCGAACTTGCTGGGTCGTAGCCGCCTCCGAGATCTCAAGAATCTTGTCTTTAGGCGCAATGTTAGTCGCAGTTTGGTAGCTATAGTGGGGTATTGGAGGGAAGCTTACAGTAGTTTGGAGGGGCGCCAGTGTTCGCCATCTTGATGATCGGTAGGACTATAGGTACAAGAGGCTCGTTCTAGATGGTAGAATAGCGGTAAAAACCTCAAGGTAAGGGAGAAGGAGAAGGCTGCAGGCTTGAGGTGATCGAGTGAAAGATTGCGCTTGAGGTATCGCCTCCCCGAGGGACCAGGCCTGACTGACATCAACGTCATTGTGGCGCATGAAACCAAAGGGTGAACGTGGCTTGATCAGCTTGCGGGGCATTGCCTCCGGGGATTCCCCCACTTGTCTTTTTTGAATGTGGTCTGTGCTGTTTTGCTGAGGTAAGGCGTGCACAGGCCATTCTTAGGTAAGCACGTGCCCAGCTGCCCCTCCTCCTTCGACATCTTCCGCTGCGTCTTCTCAGATTTCACCTACTTTGCCTTACCTTCAAGAGTTTTGTGATACCCTTGGCTTATCAAATTCCATTTAACCGCGTCTGTCCCACGATCTGCAGATCTCTAGATCGTGGGATATGACAAGGGCCAACATCGGATCAGCAGCAGCGCCTAAGTCTTGGACTCGCAGCAATGGCTGAATGCCTCCGGCCGCATTTAGTGCAGACCTTCTCATCCCAAGTATTGACCCATCTGCCCGGATGAAGGATCTAGGTATCATTTTGCTTCCACGCCAGGAACGGTAACACTAGGTTACTTTGAGGCTCTGCCACCAAGAAACGCCATCGTCTGGTCTCGCGTGCTCTTGACGAGGCGTGGCAAGCTGCAAATGATCATGCCGCATTCGTTTTCGAAAACGGTCTTCCTCGAAGGTTTTCGTTCGTCCCACTGGATCCTGGGAGAGAATACCGATCAACCCAACGAATCGCTGCACATTCCAGAGCCTCAGTGAAGCACATTTCGCGCAAGTTCTAGCCTTCGACGCTAGGTTCATGCTAAAAGCCTATTCTGAGGAAGTCAAAATGCAGGCCTGCCGAGAGTCGGCCATTGCTTAACAGTCATGCGAAGGCTCTTGGCGCTGCCAACATGATTGCCAAGTGGTATTCTCCCCACGGTTCGCGGTATGAGATACCTGCGTGGCCTGGTCGCCGACTTTCATCTGCTGTATTTTGGTGTTGGAGGTGAACAGCGGTTATGCTATCTATCCTTCACTGCAGTTGATAGAGTACCAGCTAGCCTCCAGAAACAAATCGCGCCGTTCTTTTGACCACCGCGCTAACCAACTTGTCGGCTTTTGGGACACACGTGCGTCCGCATGGCATTACGAAACCAGCTTGGGGTAGTCAGGACCGAAGCTCACTCGCAGCCACATATCAGCCCAATATTCCAGCTGTCCGTTCTGGGCAGGCCAAGCTACCAGTCGAGCCAGTCCATCTAGCAGCTTCAAACTGCGAGCGATACTTGTCCAAAAATGCTCAAAGATGATCGACGTCGTGCCACTCAACTTGAGAGAGCAAGCTAAGCTAAGATTCGTGGGGGATACGGGACGGGGAGTCAGGATCGGCATCCCGCGGCTGAAATGTCACTTCGGAGGTTACTCTGCGAAAGTCCCCGATCCTTGGCGAGCGGCACTTTTGTACTGCCTTTCTCCGCAATGCTTACCTTTGCCGCATGCACATCTGAACATCCGCTGAGTCGACTTCGTCACCACATAGAGTTCCCATGTGTCAACGAACTGGGGTTGGCTTGACTTTGGCAAATGGCAGTCTTGGCAGGAAACAAGGCAGCCTCGCCTGCCGTCTGCGATGTTCCAGCTCGTCCAAGGATGGGTTAGGAAGGTACAACTAGCTGGACTCCGCCTTGGCTAGAGGCAGTGAAGATCGTGAGACAGGTGAAAAGGGCAGGTACTTGGTCTATTGGGGTTACCCTCGGACTGCCTGAAGAGAACTTGATCAACGCCTCGCTGCCTTTCTTCTACTGCGACATCGACGACACCACACCACCGCCGCCCTCTAGTCACCGCTTTTGGCATCTTTATACTGTATTCCATGGTTCTCGATGCCCGGCATTGTCTAGGCCAAAAAAGGAATGCAGGAAAAGTATATTCTTCTCTCCTTACAAGCCATTATATATAGGGACCAGCTCGTCCCCAAACCCACACTGGATGAACCGGCTCCAACCGATCCTCGCTAGCTTTCCTCTCTCTCTTCAACTTGGACATCAGCTTGTCGGTGAAAGGCGCTGCTGGTTCCAGTATCAAGCGTCTCAGCTTCCCTGTCCGGCTAGCCAGGTCGCTTCTTCATCCCCAGGTCTGTCTATCGAGTACTTCAACTGCCCAAGAGCCTTGTCGCTGACTTGAGACGCTAGCTCTGTGAGGACGTTCGAAATACTGCTTGACAGTCGACAGAATGGCTCCCTTCACTGCGGCCGCGGATGGCAGCAGCCTTTGCACCACGCCGATCTGTCTCGAGATCGCCTCAAACATTCTCATGAGTCTCGCGCCGAACCATACCGACATCGATCCGTGCACAGACTTTGACAAATGTGCGTCGCAGGACTCCAATTGCCTTTTGTTTCCCCCACTCGCATGGCTTCCAGCTCTAGTTTCCCCGCGCCCAAGCTTCGGATCCTTGTCTCACATCTTTTTCCGGTGTTTTCCTGACCGACACTGCTGCGGATTCTGCATGTTGCATGACTCTGGTTGGCTAATACACTTTCTTGGCAGATGCGTGCTCTGGATGGAAAGCAACCCATGCGCCTGGGGCCGGCCAAGGAAAGGCCTCATCGCTGGGTATCGTCGGGAGTGATGTTTCGATAGTGCTGAAAAACATCGTGGAAGGCACCTACCCCAGTGGACCAGACGCTGGATTTATCACGGCATCACTGTCTCAAGAGCAAATAGGCGTGGATCGGGACAACTTTCAGCTGATTGTGGAGACATACAATGCTTGCCTCAATGACACCGCCGTCAAGGCTGCAGGCTTGGGTCCTCTCATCAATCTCGTCAACCGTGTCGCGGAGGCATTTCCTGTGGCCAATACTACAGAGGACAAGGAACGCAAGATCTCGAAGAATGATGCCAAAAACATGGGCAAGACACTACTGTTCTTTGGTCAACTCGGCATCTCTACGTTCGAGTCCGTCACTGTTGACTTTGATGACCAGAATACGGTATGTTGATCTGGGACCTGGGAGCCCGCCACTATGGATGCATACTGATTTTTAAGCAGAACAAAACACTCATATCCGTCGTCCCAGGAGGCACGCCGTTGCTTACAGGCTCTGTAGCCAGAAATAATGATACCATTGCGGAGTAT